AATTGACAACTGTGCAGCGAGATTTACAATTTGTAATATCTTCATCTGCCACCGAAGATTGATTTTATAGTTGGACCTCTAATGAAACCATAAACGCATCTGGGTCATATATTACTTTGATGGAGTGCACTTTTCTGTTACTATTCTTTGGCATCAACCTTGCATATAATGGTAAAAAGGATTAAATACTGCTTGCATGGAAATAATCCAAACTAGTCTTGCTGTTTGCCTCATGCCACAGTTATGAAGGGATGGGGACATATTTAACTGAGGCCATAAAGCATCAGAAATCAGTATACAGCACCGCCTTCTGGACTCGTGGTTTGTTTAACTAAACAACGTGATGGGGGGGGGGGGGGGGCAGTGGAGGGGCAGTTCAGTCCCCACAGTCTGTCTCACTGACCAGGAAACCACAGTATGCATTATTCATCATGTCTACTCACTCTCCGCGTCTGTCTCTCTCCCAAACATGTAAACACACAGAGTGCATATGTACTCAAGTACTAGAGAGGAGAAGACTAATCAAGAATATACAGAAACCCAAAGCCGGGGAAAAATAGGCCAAATCTGGGAGAAAAACGTGAGTGCGAATGAGGGAGAAATGAAGTGACATGGTCAGAGAGTGAGATCCAACACTTGTGCAATTGACCTCATGCCAAAGCAATTCAGGCTTGATCTGAAATCAATGTGAGAGCATGGGAGATGTGAAAAATCTGATGCTGTCCTGCAGCCATAAGTGGCAAAAAATGTGAAGTATATATGCCGTGTTTGCTGAGAGAGATGACTTTATTGATCTGAGCTGTACTGACTATAGATGTGCTGAGACAAATGGAAGAGAAGGCAGATATGTAACATTTCAATTTACACGCCACAGTGTCCACATAGTGATGGTGGTTTAATGAGAATGACCACACACATGCAGACCGAACAGAAAAAAAAAAAAAAACATCTCTTCATACAGAAAAGTATCGGGTTTATTAGTGTTTAATTAAAATGCTCACTAAGAACTGTTATTAAGAAAGAAGAACTAGAGGCAAGCATTAACAAGACATCTGTGATGCCACGCTGGCACAGTGACTCATCAACCCTCCACAACACAGCCTCCTGCAGGCCTGCAGGCAGCCAGTGCCAACCCCTAACACTGGCAGCCTGGTGCATACAGTTTTCATCTCGCAGGGTGGCGAACGTCGATGCGAGGGACCCCTTTTAGGCACGACTGGGCCAGATTTAGGACGCCATGCGACACCATAGGACACCTCATGTTGTCTCGCTACAGTAAGTTTTAGTCTCCGTTTGCTTTTTAATGTTGCCAAAAGGGGAATAAGCGGAGCTATCAAACTGCAAAGTGCTAAATCAATCATGCATTTTGAAGAAAATAAGTGAAATGACTCGTGGTAATGTCTAGCTTTTACTTTCATGTTGTTTGAAGTTCAGCCAAATATAAGAAAATCCATTACAAGCATATGTGCCACAGGTTTGTTTCCTGACAACAACCTTTATTATGTTGAAGTATATTATAATAAAATATAAATAAGCAATCTAATATAAATATATAATATAAACATGCTGGAAATTACAAGATTCATGGCCCTGGAGTCTGAGCCTAAAGAAAATGGAAAGAAATGGTCAGAGCTTTTTCTTGTGCGATCCCTGTGGGGCAGGTTTTTCTCTCTATCGTGAGTAAAAATAAAAATGTTGATAAGCTATACAAGTACAAAGGTTAGTGGCAGGAGGGTGGGGCGGAGCAGACAAGACCACCCAGACTGAGTGAGCTCAATAGAAGGTAAAGTATATGAAGGCAGAACAGTACAGTACAAATTACAGCCCACTTATCCTGCTCTCATCTGCGCTCAAACAGCTTCACCTGCTCTTCTCATTCTTGCTTTCTCTCCCACGACGGCAAATCTGTTTGAGAACATTTTATCCAATCTATTCAGTTAGACTAAATATGTTAAGAGGGCGAGAAGCAGTTGCATTTGAAAAACATCATATTAAGGAAGAAAAGCTATGTTCTAACTTCAGAGCAACAGCTAGAACAGGGCTTCAAAACCTCTTTCTAATTTTAAATACGACAAACCTCACATTGATGCCAACACCACACTGAGATCTCAGCTGGAATGACACTCATTAGGTGTGCAGTACTTTAATGAACCTGAGGGAATGATGCAACTTTTTTGCTTAATCTTGTATCCTTTAATAAAACTGCAGGTTCATCCTGGATAAAGATGTCAATGCAGTATAACTCTTCTGCTTGCAGCCTGGTGGGGCAAAATTTCTGAAGCTGCCACTTAAAAGCAAGAAGAGGATCAGCACAGAGGCTCAGAGACTGAGATAGTGAATGGATGTTTTGTCAATGGAAGGTGGGAGGTGAGAGAAATTAAATGCAAGACATCAAATAAGAAGGGGGTTGTCTGGGAAGTGATGTTTACGGATTTTCTCTCTTTTCCTCAGAATTCTGTTGCTGTTTTGGTTCCACGCAGGGAGCGGGAGCAGTGGCTGTCAGAGATTAACACTACACAGACAGAGTGGGGACAGGGAGGGAAATGTGAAGACAGAGCTGGTAAACAGAGAAGTGTTTTCAAACGGAGTCGAAAAATGAAAGAAATAAAAAATAAAAATACAAACATCCTCGGTGAAACAGAAAAGTCATGGGTGTTGGTGGAGGTTCGAAACAGAAAGTACTCCCCTCGCTGGACGCCAGATTCATTATGCATGTTTGCATCAAGTGAAATTAAAACAGTGCTGTGCAGAAGGGTGGAGAGAAATTCAGATGAGGAACAGAGCTGAAAGCAAATATTAGATATTTAAAACTGGACAACAAAGATGGTGAGAATAAGAAACACAAAAAACAAAAAAAAAAACAAAAAGAAAAAGCCAAAAAAAAAAAAAAAAAAAAAAAAAAAAAAAAAACAAAGAGCAAAAGCCATAAGTACCAAACTAAAAGAGACAGAGTGCTGATGTCTGTACCAATACTTCTTTAAGAAAACAAGAGGAAGAAAATGTCTAATCACAGAGTATGGAGGGTGCCAGACTGATCACACAGATCACTGAGTCAACATGTCATCAGCTCCACAAAGCGCTTTAGAATTTAAAATGGCTTGGAGGTGTGCAAGCCTGGAAAATATTTCATAAATGCAAATGATCCTGCAACTAAAATCCAAATCAAACAGCATTCACCCGAAAGAACACCTTGAAAAGCTCCTGCAATCAGATGCTTTTCAGGAGAGAATCAACCGCAGAATGGCCGACTAATGAAGTCAAATATCCATATTCATATGTGGAGGTGTGACACACCTTAATGGCATGTTTCAATTCTGCGCATTATAGAGATTAAAGATGGCAGCAAATATCAGCAGAACGCAGCAAATCTTCACCAACTTCCCTCGGCTCATCCGATCTACGGCTGCCCGCTCGTTTTTGAGCTCCTGCGCTTCTCTCATCCAGTCGACCTCTGCTTGAGCAACTGGGTTGTAAACGGAATAACATCTCAACGGGCTGGACAGAAAAGCTTCAGAAATGCCCATCTGTCCCCCCATTTCCAAGAAAAAATCTTTTTTGTCGTCTTCCTTTTTTAGCAGTTAAAAAAATGCTGAAAGCTTTGATCTAAGAACATTTACCTGTGTCTTTATCTAGAGTGTTCTTTTGTTGTAATCGTGCTATAAAAGAGTTAAATGGAGAGATGTCTTCAGAGTTCTTTTCATCCTGGCACATTGTGATATCGTCAGTGAGCACCCGCTGCCTTATTCCTCAAGTTTGAGACCGATCATGTGTCACTAAACTGTTTTTGAAAACATTCCCTGCAGTTTTTACATTTGATTTTATGCATCAAAATCATTTGAGTGAAAAAGGGCATCACTCAATCTGTCAAACGTTTGTTCTGAATGCATTCAAAATGTGAATTACTGACATGAGGCCAAAGTCATAGCTATGCTTGTTTGGAGGTATTAGTTTAAGGATATAATAAAAGATGGTTTAACTACATTAATTATCCAAGCTATGCATCTGATCATTTTAGATGCATGGACATCTGACTCGGAGCATCTATCAAGTTTCCTTTGGAATTTTATTTATTTTCCCTTTGTAAAGTTATTTTTTCGATTATTCAACAGGAAAGGCTTTCCGGTTAAACGTGCCGCTAGATTCATACGCACAAACACCGATACCTGCAACCCTGATGAAGACCACATTTCCATGACAATTAAACACCAGGGACAGTGGAGTCAGCTACTCGACACAAAAAGGACCTTCAAAGCAGAGTTGCAAAGGAGAGCATAAGAGAGGGAGTGTGTGGCCTGGATAAGTGGTGGAAGGATTATAGCTAGTTCCATCATGGCTTTGGTCCAGTCACTGCTTCTTATAAAAACCTATTAGCATGTGAATGAAGAGACGCAGAGTGGATGGAGGTTTCTAAAGCCCAGGAGCACTGATCCACTATCAGGTGAGCTCTCTGTAAAATGGGAATAAGCGGAGGAGCGTGCTTAAGGTTTCTTTATATGCATGTGTTTGAGGACAGGTGGAGGTAGACCTTTGTTGGAATTTTTGTTGAAATTTGACATCAGTCGAGGGACGCACGCCGCGTTTTAAATGCTGTAATAAAGTTCGCCAGGGAGTAAACAATTTAATCAGCTTATTAGAGCCAGTGGTCCCATCTTTTATAAATTCTCTTGACAACACAAATGACTGACATTAAGCTTTATGCAACAAGTATTAAAAAGAAAATTGGGAAAAAAGACAACTGCGCTTTGTAGCTTAAAATTACATATAAGACGAAAATGAATAATCTAATCAAGCACAGCAACTTTCCTGATATCTGAAAGTGTAATTGTGTACTTACAGCAAACCTCAGATAAAGTTTTGATACTAAACTTAAAGAACACAAAGCAGGCGCTAAAGAAACAAAGAAAAAGCAAGGCCAACAGCAGAAATGTCAGAAGTCTCCAGCAAAAACTGAAGTGGTGGAGAATAAAACCAGAGCCAGAGCCTTCCGCTTCGGTGCTTACCTCTCTCTGCAGCACCAGCTCTTTGGTGAACCGCATGGCCTCGTTGCTGAAGGGTTCGGCCACCTGCACCCCCCCGGGTGTATTACGGGAACTGCGTGGACATTCAATACCTAGGCAAAGACATCAAGATTTTTTTTGTCAAAGGTCTGCAAAGCTGCTGATGAAAAGAGAAGCAAGAAATAAAAAAATAAAGACAAAGAAGAAGAAAAAAAGACAGTGTTTGGACCATTTACACAACCACATTGGTAGATTTTCAGTTGTAGGACTGGATAATCCCCATGGCAGATATTAAAGTGAGTAATAAGAATTTAGAGAGAAGTCAAACCTCTACATGTCTTCAACACATTCACATGCTGAAAGAACACACTTTGATAAAAAGAGGAATTTCTGTATTTGCAGGCTAGAGTGACTGTTTTTATTGCATGGTGGATGTATTTATTTAAGGTTATGCCCAGGAATGAATCGTCACTATAGAACACCCAGCTTCTATTTTAGTTAGACACTGGGAACCAGTCATTTGTTCCATTGTGAGCTACAATACACAGTGACAGAACAGGCTTTTGCTGAAATTTAACACTGGAAATAAAAAAAAGCTTACAAGTCTAGGCGTTGCAGTCCTAATGAACTAAAAAAAACAAAAAAACAAGCAGGTTCTAGTACTGATTTACAGTGTTACAAAATTATAGTTTCAGCTGGGAGCTAAAGCCTCGAGCATAGCGCTAATAAAGCGACAACTCCCTCTCAGGGTCTTTCTTTCCTGTATGACAGGAGATTTTATTTAATGAGATTTACTGGCATGACAGATATACCGCCTCAGGACACACTCACAAATACATGACAGGGAGGTAAAACCTGATTTGTTAGTGCATCCTGGTGACTCAGTGGTTAGCGAGGCTGTGTTGCTGTAAGATGAGCCCAGGCTTGGATTTTCACTCCTGGCTCTTCTAAGATTTTGTTTGCAGCCTTCCCAAATTATTAAGCTTCCCCTCAATGATAAAACACTCAAACAAGTGTTGGAGATGTCTTGCTCAGTGACGTGCGGCTGAACTCTTGCCCCAATGTGCTATGAATAAAAACACTCTGAACACCTTTTTTCTTTTGCATTACCTTGTGCATTTTTTCTTTGCACTCTGTTCAAACAGCCTATTCTGTAATTTCTAATGTTTCGTCAAGGACGGAGAGGCATTTTGTTGGTGCTTATGAAACTTGTTGATACGTCAGCACTTCCGAGAAATTATCTAGGAAAGTCAGACTAAACCTCAGTAACTGTGCATCTGACTAACTGTGGTTGCAAGGAAATTAATTTTACGAAAGGGGTGAAAACTTTTCTTTTTTCCTAGGATAAAGACAATTCCATTACTCCTTTGTAATTTAAAATCCATTCGGATGTTGTGAGAAGAAACTACCATAGCTAATGTAAATACCTGAAAACCAACAGCAAGTCAGAAGTGTGCTTGTTCCAATGAGAGGGTAAATGTAAAGAGCAGTCGATCTAGTTATAACTGGTTTAATGATCCAACCGGATTTGTGTTGTTTCGTGTTCTGTTCACTAAATAGCCACGTCCATTCCATTTGTGTATCCACACAGGCATGTAGGGGAAGTGACCCAGGAAGGGCCAGGAATTGTCCAGTAAGCACTCCAATTAGGATTAACCATTGAGCCCACAAGTAAAGGGGTAACTCTTCACTTAAGTGAGTTTTTAAATAAGATCAACTATGCACTCATCTCAGAATTTTCCAACTAGCTGTTTTAAAAAATGTTAAATTCTTTTTTAATCTGAGGATTGACTGCAGCTATTAAGTTGAACGTTGGCAAACAAGTACTGTATACATCTTCCTGTTTAGCAAATAGTAAGGAGATACGACCAACACATCTGATGTTCTGAAGATCTTTGAAGAAGTGCATCAGGACAACACCAACATATGGGATACAGAGGGGCAACTACACCACTAAGTAACAAAAAAAAAGAAAAAAAAATAGTTGAGGAGGAAATTGGAATAAAGGAAACACAAAAGAAGATAAAGCCTCTGAAGTGGAAAATATTGCACACTGTTAGCAAAAAATTGGTGTATGAAATAATTGCAGAGAGGGAGATAGGAGTTTCTGCTTGGATTTGCCACAGCTACGATAAGGACTGGAATCGTGTTTTTCCCCAAGCATAATCCACACAGAAGAATACTCATGAATGTAATACACAAAAAAGTCAAGTTTAATTGTACAGCATAAAAACTACAAGGGCTGTATAGGTCCAAAGAGGCAAAGACTTCCAACTCGGTCAATACTCTTTAAGTTGAGAAAAATGTTCCCTCCACCCAAAAAATTAATTTCTCTTGGGATGAAAAAAGGAGGATTACAGTAGAGGAAAGGGCTTACAATTGGTCAAATACAAATGTCAGAGGGGTCTAATAAAATAAGTCCTTTAAAGATGTAGTGAAAAACCACTGTGGGCTTCTCTCAAAACGAGCTGGTGCTTACTGTAGCCTGCTCCCAGCTGCATTTAAACCAAGCCGGGGAGCCACTTAGCAGAGGCAATTTTAACCTGCGCACAGATTCATAACTCAGGCTTGACATGGAGATAAACATCTGGGTCATACTCCAGGATATCCATCTTATCTGATCTCGGAGACAAACAAGGCGTACACTGATCATTCTGACATTAAACTACCCAGCAGACGCCGCACACTGTTGCACGCTTGCTCCTCGCACTGGCCTGACGTACACGCCCACACCAGTCCACCATATACCACATCAATCATTTGTCATGCGCAGGGCATCTTAGATTTTTCATTGCAGAGCGTGTGCGTCTGTAGACAGAGGTTTAAACTATGTTACAACTGTCTTGGTAATGATTTGTTTTTGAATCTGCATTTCTTCCCCTTCACTTCCTATCATGTACTTTTCGGAAGGGAGACCGGTGAGGTGGCCATGTTGCTTTGGGAACTGCCTCTCAGCTCAAAGACCCATGAATACAAGTGAAACCGTTTGTTTATTTGATGTTTCAGATCATCAGATGTAGTGAAAAGGCTTTTAAAAGTAACTTTTCTGAACATCCAGACACACTTCCATTATGCAAAACCACAAGTGATGGATTATGTACACGTTCATTCCTGCTTTGATTCTCTCAACTCCAATCATTTCCAACAAGCTCTTTATTTCCCTCACAATCCTGATTTTGTAAGGGCCTGTTTTTGGCCGATCCAAATTATAAAGAAGAAGGAGCAAATAGACGTTTCTCCCTTAATCAAGTCGCAAAGCTTCAAACACAAAAGCTACTGCGGGTAAAATGCCCACACCCTGCTGTACATTGCCATCAACACTGTAAATATCTTGTTGCAGACTCCAATGCTAATGATGTGCATGTTTATCATTCTTTGACATTTTAGCTCATACCACCTACCAGATGCTTAAGCCCTTGCTTTCAGGGTGTCTACAGGTATAAATTGATACTTGCAGGATGCAGAAAAATCTGGATGAATGCCATTAGTTGCCCCCCAGAACGTTATTAAAGTTACAAAGTCTTGATTTCTGACAGGCTGATGACAGGATATAATTAGCAACGCGACAGGCAAACAAACTAAAAGCTACAGCGAGTCTGTGAGTAGAAGTGCGTTAATGTGTGTGTGTGAGTGTGTGTGTCTGTGTGTGAGAATCCAGCTCTAAAACTAATCTTTCCTCCATCACCCATAACCACATCTTTCCATTTAAATTTCCATCTCATTAATCTTGGTTGTCCTTCGCGGTATGTAAGTGCGAGGTGACTATCTTCCTATTTGAATATCGCCTTCTTCACAGCTGCCTCAGTGGATACAGGCCAAGTAAAAAGATCAGCAGTGGGTGAAAGATGCAGGTGGGTAAGACTGTGGTTGGAAGAGGGGTGAGGGGAACCCAGCAGGCAAAGAAACCATGCTGGTAGGAAAATATATTTTAAATTTGGTTTGACTATGCGTCTATTAGCCATCGTCTTACTCTGGTTCTCCCATGTGAGGGTTAAGCTGAAAGCATTCCTCTGCAGCACACAACAAGACTCGAGAGATATTTCTATTAAGGAGTAAAACACAAAAACAGAAAGAAAAATGAAAGCACACTCCGCTTTACGTAAACTAAGCTCAAACTGTTGTCTCTGTACCTTGTGCCACCTTCACTGCAGCAAACTGATGCAGCATAATCTATAATTCATTTATAACGCACACTAAGCTATATTTCACATTTATTAAAGTTAAATATTAGTTGTAGGTAGACGCAAGCATATTTCTAGTGCTTCCTAGGGATTTTTTTTCCTCCTTTAAGGGAAGCACAGAGAGGACTAAGAGGATGATTGATTTGTCTCTAGGCTGATGCAGCTTGTAGTCCTATTTAGGTAAAATAATATAGCTGAAGTATTCTAAAATACAGCACCACTATAGTAACTGTATTACGTGGCAAGACTTAAAATCTGTCTTCAAGCAACTGGGTAATTAGGTCCCTGGTTTTAAAAAGAACACGTGTGAATAACAATAAGATGTAGATGTCTATTTAAACTTGTCCAGTCCCCCCCCCCCATCCAATCCTTACACACACCTAGACGCTGCCCTCAGCAATTTCTATCTCACACAGAGGACCATATCGGGGGTAATGTAGGGTGTAACATCTTCAAAAGGACACTTTTGAACACGCAAGGGACGGGGATCATACCAATGAATACTTTAAGCAACTTTCTGTACCACGTGTGTACATGTACATTAGCTCAAGCAGACCCACACACAGACCTAAAAATAAATAACGACAAATGGCGCAAAGTCCCTCACAGAATGAAAGCTAAAGCTCCTTGCTGACAGTGTAAATCTCCGTGTCCGATTGATGGGTGTTTCATCTTTCTGACAGTCTGCTCCTCAACTTAACTTTGAGTAACTTTGAAAGTACACTTCACCTGCTGTGGCCTCCATCTAAAACTCTGTAAAAGCCATTGAAGCTAATAAACTTTAACAGCCTTTCCACTGCTCGGTCTCTCTTTACCTCAACAGGACTTCACAGCCACAGACTTCAATCGCAATTGTAGTTTTTGTTTTCCTTAACTATAACCCTTGCTTTCTTTATCCTCATTGTTTCCTTTTATCCTCCACATCTCATCTCCGTCCTTTCTTTCTTCATCTTTATTATATGTTCCCTCTTCTTCTTTCATGCACAGAATGACTGTTTTACCCTTTATCACACGTACATATGGAAGCATGCCTGCAAAGGCCAACAAGTAAAACAAGAAGAAAGGGAAGGTTATGCTGGAAGAGAGAAGAGTGAGCATCCCTTCATCTCCAGAAGCACACCTCCGGTGCTCTTTGAAGCATGCTCTTCTCTTTCTTTATGCCATTTTCTTTGTAAAACATTGTCTTTATCCATCAAGATGAAATTCGGGAACAAGGAAGGGACTGAGGGTGAGGCTTTGAGATTTCTCTCTGGGAATCTCAGTAACATAAGGGGATTCAGCTTTAAATCCAAGCTGATATTATGGCTGAAACACAAAGAAGAAAAATGCTACAGGCTAAGCAAGGTAGGAGTTAAAAATTTCAAAAATGCCTGAACTGCTTTTCAGTGTTACAAAGTGAATGACAGTGTTTCATCACTTATTGCCTTGGGATAGTTTAATTTACACGGCTCCTGTAAACAGTTTGCTATTCAACAGCCTCCCACAACATTGTTAGATTTTTTTTTTTTTCAATCTATCCAGGATGAATACAATATAAGGAAAACAAAACTAATGAAACGGATGACTAATGCAGGGCTTGTTTTAACATCAGCATCCTTTGAAGGTGATGTGCAGATGGCATTTCCCCATCAGTTAGAGCACATGACACATGAACACAGGATTTCACAAAACACAGGTTTTGTGAGAACATTGTAACTCAAACAAATACTGAATGGGGTAGTTAGATGGTACATAACCTTTGTGGAAAGCTTATGCTGGTATGTCAGGTATTGTACAATAAAGGCTCATAGGGAAATATATACCTTGATATGTATGCCCGTGTTCAGCATATGCGTCCAAACTATTGTCCTGCTATAAAGATTCACAGCACTCTACCACAAAAATATCACTGTATATGGAAATATCTTCCCCTATGAACAGCTGTTGGAAAATATCTGAAATCTGAAAAAATAAGAAAACATAATATTACCCTGTCAGAAATATGTAATGGCTTCAAAGAAAATAATAATAAAAAAGAAAAAGTTCCAAAAGGCTGCTGCCATTTCATACACAGATAAACATAACAGGCTCGGGGCAGCCGTTTTATCGCATGCATCACTTTGAACACGGCCCATGGTGCAGATGAGTGAATAAAACATGAAAAGATCTCTTTGACAAGAGAGAAAAAGTGACTGTTTGGAGATTAAAAGCAGAGATAATGGGGAGGCTCTTTCTAAAGGCTTGATTTGATTAAGGGTTAAAGGTTTGACATCAGTTATGTTTCAAGAAATATTTTTAAAACATGTACATGGTATTATACATGCTCAGAAACAACTACGCCAGTGCTCGTTTTATCCCTAACAGCCCAGAGAGAAAAAAAATCATGTAAGAAAAAAGATGACAATTAGATGACAGGTAAAAAAAAAAATTAAAGAAAAAAACTGACATCATTGGAAGAAGAGCCAGAACAGGTAACTCCACAGCTGATTAAGTGAATGCTAATAGGAAAAGAGGTTAAAAGATAACAGTAAAGGAGGTCCTTTGTTTCACTGAAGGTTAGCCCAGCGGAATGTTTGCATTAAAAACAGCACAGGTCATTTCATTTCCTGCCGATGAATCTTTTCCTCTGGGAATGACCTTAATCTAATTTGCTCAGTGGCTATCAGCTCTAAATATGCCTGTTATGACTTGCTAATGAGCAGTGACTGAATAAATTCATTTTAAAAGAAGGCTATGTAAACATAATCTCACACATACCTGACATTCTGAACCTGAGGGTAGTGTGCATTTACTTTGGAGAGAGGAGCTCATGCAAACCAGGACGTACACTGTATGCGCTGATGGGATCCTTTAATACGTGTTGAGAGTAGTTATAAGATTTAATTACAAAACCACCATTAAACGAAATTGTGACGTTTGTCAGAAATATATTGAAGTATCTATCTGCATGGTGGGCAGATAATAGAATAAAACTGAGCGGGAGAGCAATTTTTCTTTTTTAAAGAATGATAAAAGGGATATTTTTTGTATAAGGACAAGGCAAAAATCCTGTGCCATAGATTTTTGCAATTACCAAAGAGGCAGGCTTAGTGCTATCAATTATATAAAACATCAAGAAGATTGAGAGTTTAAGATAAATAACTGGACTTGTACATCAGACTGAGTTTCTGCAGTGAGGTTTGGTTTGGTCACTGTTCAAATAAATTTGCTTAAAAATAAAAATGGTCAGCAAAGAGTTTCCCATGACCTAACATCCTTTTTCACACACTGACACATTTTTCTGGATTCAAAATGAAGCGTCTGACATGCTTTAATCAAAACAGCGACGGTACAGTAAAAGCATTATTCCCATTAAGGTAGATGGAGAGACACACAAAACTCCCCTTTTCAGGTTCTGCCCCTTTTGAGGCCAGTTGTACCCGAGCACCTTAAAAAATAAGAGCACATGGTACATAGCCTGAGAACTTAGACCTTTCAACAAACTGATAAATACTTGACTAGCAATTCCACTCTCAATTTCATTGCACTGCAGTTTAACCGAGGACAGCTGGGAACCACCAATCCCTCCTTCAGGCACAATCTTGTTGCATGTCATGTGTTGAGCAGTGCTAGTCGTCAACATGCAGTGGAGAGCTCAACAGACTGTGTCCGGTTTACACACCACTGACACTGTCCCTGTTCTGGACATAACCCTCTGTGTAGCTGAGCGCCAGGTATGACGGGCAAACAAACAAGAGTAATAAACTGACTGTTGTTGAATGCCTTCGAGTAAAATTTGATATTCTGAGAACTTATCAGGTTCTACAAAACATGACCTTCTCAGAGGTAAAGAGAAGGAACCAAAAGGTGTGGGGAAAATATTAAAACAATAAAACTTTCACTTAAGCTGTGAAATTAAATACCATGTTGATTCACTTCCTGCAAACTCGCAGGAGTTTAAAGCACTCTTTCACCTAGGACGGTGGCCCTGGTGCTATTACAACATAATGGGAAACATGAGTCAGGAGTCTTCTTCAAATCTGGTAGAAAGCCATGGGGGGGTGAAGGTGAGGTTAAAGGGGACAGGTGCTTCACGCCGACACTGCGCTCCAAAACAGGCTGGGCTGCCAGGGCTTTCCCCTTTTCCTGTTAGAGTTGGCAGGGTGGGGGTGGGGTTCAGTTTGAACACAACTAGTGATTCCCAGCATGGGGCACACTATCTGTAGAGGGGGCTTTTGAAAGTCATGCCAAGGTGCATGTACTTGCTACAGAAAACAGACACTTTCAATTAACTTTTCCCTGGCAGAAACAAATATCTGACCAGATGCAGAAATAAGCCTGTTAGATGACACCAATTAAAATGACCTTCACATCTGGAAGGATACCCACCGGCAAGGAGGAATGTGATGAGACAGGTTTCTTTGGGCATGTACAACTTGAGGCGGGAGCCGCTGAAGACGTGTTCGACCACAGCTTCCGACCGGCCAGCCCTCTGCAGGAAGGGCAGGAACTGCTTGGCCTTTTGTGTGTCCTAATGGATGTAGAAGGGGACCAACAGAAAACATTAAACAGTCATTTTCATTCCGCTCATTTCTTCTCCCCTCATATAGCAAGAACAAAAAGGTTTAATTTTCCCATTTGAAATTTGTGCTGAATCACACAAACAAAATTTAGGCCAAATAAATATAAAATGGGAAGAAAAATAGACAGAAAAGGACTGATTAGAAAAGGAGTGCATGTTTTTTTCCAGACATCCGAATATCTCTGTGGCCAAATGAAGACTGCCTTGCTTTTTAGTGGCACGTCTGGGACCTTATACAATCAAAAATAAGTCTCTCCCTTCCTACTTCCATCTCTGTCTGCAATGTGAGTCACCACCTTAGTATAGTACTCTGGCCAAAATCACAAGCAAAGCTAAATCATGCAGCAAGTGCTGCAGTGGCAGGGGAGGATTTCTAAACGATTGCAAAAAGAAAAAAAAAAATTAAATATGTGCCTTCTCCAGGCATGAGCATGTAGGCACAACAGACCAGTGAGTCATGGACCAGAGTTGTGTTTGTGTGAGGTAGTGTGAACAGGAGTAGGCACAAAAGCCCAGACAAGGAGAGTCAGAGCAAACACACGAGTTCACCATTTATTAGTCAATTTAAATTAGTTGAAAGGGGCCCAAACCCAAATATACCAATGTTTTCCTTCACCTTCTTGTACTTTTGTGTGAGACACAAAACAAAGCAGCACGAGAAAAGAGACTACAAGCATGCAGCACGTGTCGTCAGTACGGCTCTGATGCATGAGAATATAAGTAAAGGGTATGTGCTTTAGCCACAAGATGTACCACCTGAACTGCACCCACTGGAATCCAAAATAACCCCTTGAGTGGGAGATGACACTCTTATTCACACAAACACATTTACAGCACCTGCAGTGTGTGTGTGTGTGGGCAGTGCTGTCTAACTTGTTTCAGGAAAAGGGAACAGACATGAGAAATAAGAGGACATCATTATGCAACCTTTAGAGGCATGAGGTGAGTCAAGTGCTTTATCTCCTCTCCTCCCACTACCTCTGTACATCTCCTACACTATACATTTAGAAACCTATCTTTGCTCTATTTGTGACTGCATCCCACTCATTGTGCATAATCCCTTTCAACAAACCTTTACCACCAAAGGATGCTGACGTCTAGCAGTGTGTATTTCCATGTGGGGAGGGGTGTGCCTTACACACTTGTGTGTGGGTGTGTAACAGAGGGGAAGGGAAAAAAATAAAGAGGAGAGAAAAAAGGGGGGGGGGGGGACTATTTAGGGGTTGATGTGCAACGTTGCTATCTTGGTCCCTTAATTAGAATGTTCATTACATTAGCCTTGCCAAACAACTGGTGCATTTGTGTGCTCACACGCCTACTGGCGATTGCTGGCAACAATCCTAGACAGTGCTGCAAATCATGCATGTCGTGCTGGAGACTGACAGGAATGCAAAGAGAAGTCGGAGCGCGGCAGCTGCATCGTGGCACTGACCTGAGTCAACTAACAGTGCCGCTAATAATAAGCGCGGCCGATCAGGGGCTCCATTGTGCCGTCGGGCAAGCTACACAAACAAATGACATTGCATCCTACAATAATAATGCCAAGCCCAAACAGCTAACGCTGGCTAACTGGAACCATTTTTAGCAAAGATGTAAAGATTTTCCCCATTCGGATGTAAAATATTGTAAATGGTTTGTTTTGTTTTTTTCTTCCCTCACCTTTATTGAGGATCAACACTTATTGGCTCACTTGCCCCAACCCAGTCCCTTCACAGCCTCTCCCAAATGCCTTATGTACACTGAATGTGGTCAGATTGGCTTATTAAGTTGGATGGTAGTTTACAAGCATAAAATGGACAACAATCCCTACAGAAATATCAGAACTGCTCCATCAGCACAACAATTCCCCGTCATAATTATATTTGCAGGGTTTAATCATTCATCCGCAATGCTGACACATTAAGACATAGTGAGGCTATGCTGATGACAAAATGGAGGGGGGGTGTAATTGAGAATTTATGCACACTAATGTTGGAGTCAGTCGGACTTTTACATAATGTTTGATTATGGGTTTAACCTATTTAGACTTTAAGTTCTCTGTAAGGCCTAGCATCGACATGTTAAGGCGGCACTGGCTGTTACTAGAAAGTGCTTGCAGGTAGCATTTAACCAAACCACAGCTCTAATACGGCAGCACTTTTCTCTGATGACAATATTATGACTACATTGGTTGTTGTAGTATCAGCCTACCCTTTCCCTTATGCTATTTTAAGCCTATTTGCCCAAACATATTCTCTTAAACTCAGTTAATTTTGCCACAAGAGGCAAATGGCGGACATTTTCCCTCACGCTGACAACTGAATGAGCTTGTCTCAACTCAGTCTGACAGCTGTGGTGCAGCAAGAGGTCGGTGTGTGACAATCCGTCCGACACATCAGTGAGAATGAAAATCAGTCTTGGGTAAGAGCTACGATAAGAGGGAGTGATTCTGCGCTTATTTTAGCTTTAATAAGGCCCAATTTTAAGCAGGGCTCTTTTCAGCTGATTCCTTGTGCTGAACCAGATCTTTAAGGAAAAGAACCAGTATCTACACTCTCACCTACGATAAAGGCCATGTGTAATTTCTATTTCAACACACTGACTCGGATTAGTCGCCATCATGTTGTCAAGAGGACATTTTCCCTGATCTGCTATCATGAATGGGCTTTTCTTTGTCCTGATACTTCTGAAACGTCAGAGCCTCCCGCTTAGAGTCTGATTAATGTATCCCAGAGTCATCAGAAGCCTACAAGTGCAACAAAAGGGTTTAAGTGAGGAGACAATGACGTGTTAATGTTTCTGAAGTTCCGCTTCGTCTTTCACAGCAGACCATCCAGTGACGCTCATAATGAAAAAGAGATGGCTGGCCTTCAAGCACACAAAAGCACAGACTGTTTTAGTAAAAATAATGGGTTGAGAGAACCTCCAGCCACTAAAGACTAAAAAGGGGGGGGGTTCAGGGTTAAATCAAAATGAAAAAATTAGCATTTACATTTTTTACTCCAATATCAAAATACAAACAACTTCATGAAGGGTCAGTAGCAGTTAGGTAATCAAGTTAAAGGCGCATGAGAGAGCAGATTCTGCACAGAGGGCAGGAAGACCTATCACTGTGATAAAGATTAAGAACAGCTTTCTCAGATCTGCAAATGAAAAGACAGGCAGATGTGTTCCAATCAGCCATTACTGTGAGATTTTATGGTTTTCCCACGCTAATGTTCATGTGATGAGCCCTCCCAATCAGGGTTCATTAGCCAAATGATGCTTCAATCAAGCCCCTAGGCACACGTAAACAAGCTAGGCCCAAGCGCCACTGATGTTTTTATTAATGCTGTTTATTTTTAGAGGCCACTTATAAGGATGAGTCTACGATTATAGATTGTGATAACACATATTTAAAACCTTTAATTCTAATTACAGTTGATTTACATTAAGTGCATTAATATTTAGCATCACATGCATATATAATCAAAATATTTTTACTAAATATGTTTATTACTTTTCCCTAAAACTTACATACCCCAGAAATATCAGCCACTCTGTGGATGGGAACCTCCTTCTTGCTGTGCAGTCCTTTTCCATTCTTTATGGCCCTAAATCAAAGAGTAAAACAGCATCATCAAAATACATGAAAAAGCGGTGGACAGGAGGCTTTATAACCCTTTAAAAAGACCCCAAGAGGTCCAATTGAGACCTTAATAATGGGAGCTACTGGGGAAAGTATTGTGGATTTAGTTAAATTCAGATGTCATTCCCCCAGCTCAAATGGAAACATGATTTTTTTTCCTCCATTCAGAGAAATGATTGGCTAAAGCGGTAAAGTGGGAACGGTGGTTGAGGAATCATAATGGATTAGAAGTGTTGGGAGTAAATAAGAGGTGAGAAATAGAGAGACATAAGATCTTTCTTCAGAGGCTGCTAGGAAGGTTGAAAAATGATGGTTACTACCACAGAGAGCTGCTTTTAAAAGCCTCATGGGCCAAGGGAGATGAAGATGACTTGTTGTTGCTGTTTTGACTACTATCATCCCACTACTGGATCACTGGGATGGAAACCAGTGCCTTGCAGATAAACCATGAACACTTATGTAGCCGTGTACTGTATAAATGTGCATTTAATAGACTGGAAAAAGGGTCCTTGAAGGCTGTGGGCCACTAGCTTTGTGCAATGGGAACTAAAAATATAACCAAGGCTATAGACAGAAACCTCTCATCAACTCTAATAGGACCCCACCAGGGACAAAAAGAAAGACGGAGCAGTGAAAAGAGAAGGGGAAAAGAGAACAAGAAATGGGAAAAGAAGGCACACAAGAGCAAGGTCAAAGAAGGACAAAAGTGACAAAAAACACTTAAGGTACAGAAACAAGAACAAATTGAGCAAAGGAGGAAGAATTCCTGCAATGGAAAGAAGGGAAAAAAGAGGGCAGATGGTCAGTGACACTGAGTGAAAAGGAAGGGAGAGAAAGAGTTAATCCTATAAAAAGAGTCTGTGGCTGCATCTGCTCTACCTACAGCAAGCAGATCTTAATCTATGGCAGAGTAATAAAGCTTGTACTAAATCTCTCCACTGCACCTCCATATAATTATATTCATAGGCCCTGTATAAAGAGAGCCTCTGATTTAGCATCTTGTGCCCAAGGAAGGTGTATGTGTGTCCAAGCATACAAGAAAATGGATGGGGATGGCAACAATACATGGATGAGTATATATTTAAAAGTAGGGACACGCTTCCTCAGGAAATTAAGCAGCAGCCATGATTGGCTGTGACTAATGAGGGTGGAGTGAATAAAAAAGTTATGAAAACAACTTCACCTGTGTTAAGTAAAAAAAGCCCCAATGTCATTTGGTTCTACTCCATGTTTAAATAGATCCATTTGTCATGTTTATTCAAATAAAGAGCATTTGAATATGCATGGGGTTGCTTGTCTAATTCTCTTAACGCTGCATTTGTGAGAATAAAAAGCTGTTTAAGATCTACCGTGTCAAGGGTGCAGGTGTGCAAGTTCATGTGAAAGGAAGAAGGAAAGTGGAAGTGCTGTGTGATTCTCACCGTGCCTCTGCAGCAAGCAGTTCATCATAGTGGGAGGAGCGCTGGTCATCATCCTGTCTGTATCTGATGACTGTAGCAAGGCCTTTACTGACTAGAGCTTCAGCTATGTTACTGTCAAAATGAAGGGGGAGGCAGGGCAGAGAAAGGTTATTTAACTCATACTGTAGATAATGCAAGATATTATTAAGATAAATCAAATAAAACACTTTGCTGAGGAAGCGGTTTTTACAATATATCTATAGTTAATATTTGATTAACCCCCTCGGACTTAAAACATAAATCAAAGTATCCTTTTTATTCATTAAGAAAGCTTCAAATGTTCTTTTTTCACACATGAATTACTTTTGTTTTGCAATACGGATAGGAACAAAGGTGATCCATGAATTCCAATAAAATTTAAAGATCTATGTCTTTACATGGATTTCTGTTCAGAGGAGGATCCAAATAACGATAAGCACTGGACAGTTATCTTATTTAAGACAATACTACTACTAATAATATTCGTAATAATAATGTTCTTCAAGACACTTTTAATGCCTTACTGTGAGCAACTAACTTGTACAATGGTTTATAACACCAGCCGAGACCCACAAAGTCTCAATCTTCTTCAAAAACAAGCTGCTGAGTGTCAAGTCTCTGACCAAAAGTAAGAACATTCTGACTGATATTCCCACCATAAGACAAAGTCCTATGGGGTCAAAAGAATCCATCCCACTGACAGTGTTGGCCCCTGACTTCATCAGGCATGGGGGCTAGACCAACTGTTATCAGTAAAAAAAAAGAGCCTGGTGAGCTCAGCTAAAGCAAAGAAGTAATTGGATGTTTACAAGGCCAGATCGCGACCTCCATGCGGGCCAATGCTATCAGATATGAGACAGCTGGTCTGTTGATAAAAAAAGATGTCTTGACGTGCACATTTGATGCCGCTTTTTGACTGGAGTGCCACAAGAAAGGAGAAAAAAAACGGACGATAAATGTAGCTTTTAACTGTTTGACAGAAAACGGATATCTAAAGAATCCTTTCAAACTGTGTGGTATAAAAGCTCTTTTCTGGTTTTGATTAAATTTCAACCGGTGAATAAAATTTACATCTGATAGAGTGTAAAAATGTCTCAAACTGATGAATTGAATTCCTTCAAAGCAGTGTTTGCAGATGGGAAAAATATTACTTGCACTGAGGGGATGTTTTCCAGATCAAAGAAGAACTTTCAGGTTGCTGATTTCTGACACTTCACAATCTAAGCGTTTAGAAATTATTCTGTTGTCTTGGATCAAATTATATTAAACTCAAGCAGTCAAATTAAATGTTATGAGGAATCTTACACTGTATTTGTCAATTGGGTCTGTCAGTTGCTAAGAAACCCCTACAGAAAGATAGCAGATTGACAATACCTGCATTTTTAGCTTATAATAAGATTTTATTGGCCAGAAATGAAAAATAAAGTACACCATTAAATGTGGGAAACAGCAGGCTAATACTTACATTCCACCAATTGTGACTGTGGCACAGGTGCGCTCTGGGAAGGCAGACGTACCTTCCCCTTGACCAGTAGCTGCTCTGATGTAGTCCACCGTCACATTGACCTGAGAGGAATCATAAGCCAGGGGGTCAAACAAAAAACCAAGAGGAGTGACTGAGAGTGAAGGTAGCACCAGTTAGAGTAATAATTAGTGTAAGGAATGTTCTGTGTGGGTGTGTGTGTGTGTGTGTGTGTGTGTGTGTCCCCCTTTGTTTGTCCCAGTTCTCAAGGTCACTCCCAGTCAGTGCAAATCACATCAGGCGGCGGTGCAGAGCTCCCCAGAGGAGCAGTATTAACACACTCTGGGTGTTCGGGACAACACACACACACAGCAGTGAGGGAACCCAAATGACCCCACACGCTACGTTCACAACACAGTTCCCTATGGGTGGACTCCGATCCATCCACCCTGAAGATACAATTTTGTCACTCAGCTGTGTGCGTATATCCACAGGCATGTGACAAGGAAAGCCTGCGTTGCGGGCCAGACACAGGCAGACATCGCTAACAGCAGGGATGCAGCCATACGGGCGCACAAAATCGACTCTTTAAGAGCTGCATGTCGACCGTGTCAGACAACTGTGACAGGAAGGGAATAAATAAATGAAATATGCAGGAATCTGGCTCTGTATCACAGCATCAGAGTGCAGGCGCAGAGACCTATTACAGGAACGTGAAAGAACAGCAGCCTGTCATTAGATGAACAGGAAGAGAACGGAGCGGTACGAGGAAGAGAGGAGTCTCTGTCAAAGCAGAATGTTGGAGGGTTGTTTGGCACCAAGTGCCATCTGCAATTTCAGAGGAGGGGGGAATTTAAAAAAAAAAGGACACCAGGGGTGCTTTTCATTATGCCAACGTGCCTCTGCAGTTCTCTAACATTCCTACTTGGCATCTTGGCTCAATTCAGAAAGATGTGAAAGACAGCAGGAAGGGCACAGCATAATACAGAGCGCATAGAAGCCTTTTTGTTGTTTCAACATGATCGTGATGTGTACTCAACCTTGTTGAAATCGAAAGTTATTCAATTTGTGGAAGTAAAGACTGTTCATTTGAATTACTTCTTGCATAACCCATGTGGTAAGAGATGAAAGACTGAAGGTTGATATGAAGAATGAGAAAGCAACATTAGACAGGAGGAATTCAAGCAAAATGGCAAGATTCAAACAAGATTTAATGACATGGGAAAATGAAAAAAAAAAAAAAATCACAAAAACACAGGATATGAAGAAAAGGTTTTCACCCCATTAGGTGATGTCGTGATGGATTATAAACTTTGACCAGTAGTGTTGGATTAAAGGAGTTCCAGGCCCATTTTCTGAAGGCCATATAACCTATCTGATAAGACAAATCCATCCATAAGAACCTCCCACAGGAGAGGGAAACAGAGAGGCTGTAGATGGATCAGAAAGTGGGGAGAGTGATAAGAACAGCAAGAGAAGGGTGAGACTAAATGTGCTTGTTCAGTTTGAGCAACACACAGCGCCAAAGGAATCCTGTCTGTAACATGTTTGAATAATGAAGAGCATTCTCAGTTGTGGATTCTACTGTTAGATGGTTGGCATTAATATGAAAAAAGTCTGGTACACTACTAAAATCAGTCAGGTCAGACTTTCCATTATAAATATACGAAATGAAAAAAGTGGGAGGTTAACGTCATCTGTTCAGCAGAAAACAGAGCCCATCCTCCGCACCTTCCTTTTTGAGAATATTTCAATATGATTTGGCATAAATAGATTTTAAAAAGAAAATTTCACAGACCAATTTGCAATGAAAGGCCATATTTAACATTGTAAAGGCTGTTAGTGGAAATCATATGGTAACAGCTCGGCTGGTTCTGAAGAGAAGTGCAAGCCCATTCAGGCCTTCTAAATACAGCCCCTGCTGTGTTTCAGCTAGATGCATTCGTAGCCATCTTTCATTTAAAGACATGAGCCGTGCCAGAGGGTAAAGCAAAAATACCTTGAAGAATGACAGGATGGAAAAGGTACAGACCCAAGAGGGGAGTAAAGGGAAATTAAGGATGAGTTTCAACCTCCAGACGTGATGATGGCTGTATGCAGGTACGGCTGTACCTGCTTTTGCGTTTGTTTGAACACACACCTTAAAGCTCTCACCCCCAAAACTGGCTCCCATTCTGACAAACGCATATTTAGCTGTGTGCAGGACATTCACTCAAGCATACGCATGCCATTAAGATGGGAAAACTCTGTTGCTAACAGTCCTACACAAGCAGCAGCATAACAGGAGCCACTTTGAGGATGCAGGATTATCCGAATGTGCTCAACCCTGATAAGTGGCTTAATGCAACATTTCCATTCGACTTTTTTTTTCTGCTGAGGCTGAGACCCAAGCGCAAAGAAGCACTACTTATAAAGTTAGCCAAATCAAGCTTTTTGGGATTATGTCACCATGCAAGCTCTGCCATTTCAGTAGGGGTGGAAATGTATACGAGATTGAGACAGACGAAAGTAGAGTGACAGTGCGAAAGGAAAAATGGGAAATGCTTTAGTACTCAGATGTGGTTTCACATCTCTCATGAGATTAGGAAAAAAAAGAAAACTCTAAACACTACAATTCATAGAAATTAAGATGTGCGAGTAACACATACTTATACACACACACACATGCACATATATACAGATACATCTATCCATCCATCCATCGAAAAAGAAATGTGATAGAGGTGCCATTTATTTGAAAAATTTGGTATTCCAGGGGGAAATAATGAATACATAAATAAGTATTAATACATATATGAGAAGTACACATACATATGCAATGATTCAGATAACATGAAACTCATCAAAGATACAATACTGGAGATGATCTGATGATGTTTGAAGACCAAACTAGGTGTAGCAGCAATTCCTGACTGCTTATCAAAGACATACTCCCCCTGCCAGAATATGGGGGAATCAAATGCAGTCTTTTGAATATGGATATCAGATATGCTTTATAAAAGATCAAAGGCACCATGCACTCCTTATTCAGATAAGAAATGGTGTTTTTAAAAGAAAAAAAAGTGTTTGAAATAGATGTATTCTCTTAAACAAGAGCTGTGGCATTAGGGCTTTGAGCTCAAGCACACTGAGGCTGGTAGTTAATGCACAGTCACGTCCTCGAAGGTGCAGTCAGGAAAAAAATCTGCTTGTTTCCCAATCCATCCAATGTATTGCACTCTTAAGCAGTTCCTGAGCTTTGAGACAGAACGGCATCAAGGGGAATACCTGAACGACAACTTTGTGACTGTGCAGGATGATTAGCTTTTCTCAAGTCCAGTTTGAGCTTAATGGTGCAAAATGCTCATTTCATGATCTAACCAACATCTACTTTTTTCAATTAAGGATAGAGAAGAACAAAAAAAAGGGGGGGGGGTTGTATTTGTTTATACGGCCCTCTACTAGGCCATCTTAAAATGCCTCAACAGTTGAAATTGAATCTTTTAGGCTTTGTCCTTTAGGAAATAAAAGCTGAGGAAATGGGAGCTCTCTCAAGAAAATACTGAAGAAAAACTGTAGGTTACGAGGGGCTTACTGCTCCAAATCTGTCTCCACAGAGCAGCACAGTAAGTGGGTCGACTGAACTTCTTTCCTTGAGTGCAACATGCATCTGTATGCCAGAGCATATACAGTACATGCATCCAATCTGACAACCCAACGAGGCCAAGGTAGCATATATCATCATAAAATCCTTTTGGGTGAGGCACTGAACTCGCCAGAACACATTCGCCTGTAGAAAGCCTGTTATCATTTTATCCAAACTAAATCTTTCTTGTTGCCAGGGCAGCTAAAACCTGCAGCTTTTTTAAGCTTCTGTAATTATTTTCAAAATGATACATGGTGACAGAAGGCTCAGCTCAGAGCTTTAGCCTTGTTTCTTGGCAACAATAAAGAAATGAGAGTGAATTCACATTCTGGAGCTTTTCCGTTATTGATTACACACCAAAAGGAGGGAGAAAGCTGAGCTCCTGGAAAAAAGGGTGAGCTCTGCCACTTCCACCTAACTCACTTCAAAGAGCTTATAAGCACACACCTGGGAGACAAAACATCAATATTAATTATATGTGGAGTAATATAGCAGAATATACTGTGTATATGCAGGTCTGTCCTCAGATTTCTGAGAATAAATTACAGTGACTAAAAACCATCAAGAAATAAGCTTATTTCAACGTTTTACGGTCTGTTCTGTCATTCGCACATTTAAAACATTGATCAATTTACACAGATATCACTCTGCATGAAGACAGTGATCTCGATGACCACCGCCTCCAACTGTGGCTCAAATTATTCACATCTAAGTGTGTCATAAGGTGCGCTGCCTTCTCCATTTAAAATGTCCAAACGAGAATGGATTATCCAGTACACATTTTAATAATACGCAAACACACCCAATGACTCATTCCAGTGAAGCACGCATAGTCATGACACAGAACCACCAGCTCATTCGGTATTAGCCCTTTCCTTTCAGATAAACACAGCAAAGAACTATTTGTGTGAGGGCTTTGGTTCAGTCACTCAACTACTGAAACGTCAAACGGGAAAAAGAAATATGTGCATATCAGAAGGCCGGTTTCCTCATCGAGCAAATCAAGGATTGGGGAGGATTTATATCTGGACCTATACGCTGACTTTATTTCTATATGCATGTGTAATACACAACAGACAAAAACTATTATGTTTTAATATTGGCGGACAACACTACTAACAAGTATTTCTACTCAAAGGGTTTACTTCTACTTCAAACTGTTGGCGCATCCTTCCACACCTAAACAAGGCCAAGCATTTGTATTCCCGTTACGCATGAACTCATTTCCAAACACAAACACCCCAAATATACCGCAGAATCATTATGCCCGCTTCACTTGTCGAAAGCCAGCTAAAGGCTGAATTTTCCACCATTAAAAAAACATTAATGAGGATGAATAAAATTACTCTGATGAGAAGCTGAGACAGGGATATGAATCTCACTCCAAAGCAGAGGCCAGAAGGAACTCTCTGTTTGGGCTTTGAGTGGGTGCATGTTTTTGTGTTTAACAGGCTGCTGTGCTATTTTCTTTTTTACCTCAGTTGAGGAGCTCTGAAAGCATGCGCAAAGTTCTCTGTGCATTGCTTTAAAGCAATAAGACCAAAAGAAGTTTAAGCCAAGCTGTTCAAAAATATGAAAATGTCCAATGAAAGTATTTATGCCAGTCAGCTGGAAAAACTAATGCTTTCTCTTCGTTACCGATAGTGTGAACACATCTGTACAACTTATTTGTGTCAAAAACAAGATTTGTATGCAACCTTAAGATATACTTCAGAGTATCTGGCAGGTTTTAAACCTACATCTTTTGACTGAGGTTCCACACAGATGGACGTTGAATGCTGCTGTAATGCGGAGGATCACACAAAATCAACTTCCATTTATTTCTAAAAGTGTTCATATTCAATGCACAAAATGTAATGTTGAAGCCCTGATGTGCACGCAGGTGCTGTTGAGCACATTGTTGGGCTGTGATAGGTCAGATGTGAGTGAATCAGTGCAGCCCCCCAGGTGTACATATGTAGTAGATCAATAGACACAAGGAGAGGAAATCAACACTGCTTGTTTAAAGGGTGTGTCTGGGCCAAAACCAAACCCCAGGGCATCTGCCCAGAGTGCTTGGTATTCACCAAGAGACAGAGGGAAATGGATATCCAGCTAAGAATCGCATGCGGCTGTTTACAAAGACAGGAAAATGCTATGGGGAGCATTTATACAACCATCTGGGGTATTTCAGTCACCAACTTCCACTAAATTGAAGAGAATTGATTTGAGGAAATAAGGTTGACTCAGACTGTGGTGCACACAGAAAGGAAGAGGGATTGGGAACTTGGAGGTTCAGTCAATATTCTTACCTTTTTACCAATGAGCTTCTTCCTCAGGAACTCACGGGCCTCGAACATGTAGGGGATGTCGTAGAGAGGACGGAAGCGTTTGTCTTTGTCCTTGTTCTTCTCCTTAAAACAGATGGAGGTTTGTAGAGTGGGGTGGGGGGGACAGGTGCAAAAAATATAGGGAGAGAAAAATGGAAATAGGGAAGCAAATAAGAAATGGTTAGAATAATTTATTTAAACATATTTACAATAGACGATGTGACACAGTGACTTCAAGCACACAAAATAAACAAATTTATATCCATTTTATGTAGTCTGTGCCCACAATTCCCTCAATTCCAGTCCATAATAAAGCTGGACATTGAAATGTGTTTAACATTTTGATATGATGGCAGCAATGCTCACACTCAAAAATATTTTATCAAAAGAAGAAAAAAAAAGGGATACTTTCTCTATTAATATTGGATACAATAAATGTAAAATACACAGTTATCAAGGACACACAGAAGCAAACAGGGCAGAAACACTTTTCCTGAAGCACAAAGGCAGGCTCACACACTATTCAAATGTATGGCATTCATAAAACTTCCCTCAATACAGCCCCCCACTTTCTGACAGGAGAAAACCACAAATAGAAACCATTTGCATTTTCAGAAGGAGAATGAGGGGTTGCTCCCACAGTGCACAGACAAAGGGACACAAATACACACGAGTGAGAGGTTTCTTTTACGCAGGATGGTAGAATGAAGTACAGTGAAAGACAAACATACACTGTAAAATAAAGTGCAGACCAACAACAGGGAAAAGGCCATGAAAAACTCCACCAGTGTGCTCTCCACCCATACCCCTCCCACACTTGGAAGAACGCACCCATTATCTGTCATACAAACAAGTAACAGTCTTCCAAATTAACACATAGGGTTGGATTAATTCCTCTTTTCCAGCACTCTCCAGTGGTTTCCATTCATTTTTAATGACTCTCCAGTTGTTCAGAGAGGCCAGGTGTGACACAGCTGGGCAGATGGATGTGGAGAAGAGACACGGGGGGGAGAAAAAGATGTGTCAAGCTGCACGGAAATTTATGGCTCAATTAAAGCCCTCTCGATTAATTTTAAGCGCGACTGACTTAATTGGTGTCAAATTTGCAAACCCAAAAAGGATTTAAAATGGTAAGAATCTTTAACATTTCGATAAAACGTTGACCTTACACATCACATCGTCCTTCTCAACTTTCATAAAGAGTCAGCAAAGTGTTAAACTCCCAGAGTTAATCATAGAAACAAAATGCCCCGTGGAAATCCTTCACCGCTCGGCTGAGAGCCATCTCTGACAGTTGGGACCGTCAGGGTCTTTTAACTTTACCGAGACAGATGTGGTGGTATGCAGGAGCCCTTTAGGAACACTGCCAGCCAGGACAAGCCATGCAGGGCTCCTCCATTTTGTGCCAGAGCTGTGGATCTGATGGTACTTCCACAGTCAACAAACAAGTCTGCTTTTTCACAGCACATTATTTAAAATGCTTTCTCTAAAGCCATTCCATATGAATGCTCCATCAGTATAGAATTTATTCTAGAAGGAAAAGTAAAGAACAAACCGAAGAGGGGGGTGTTGAGTAAAGAAAAAAAAAATCTTACTAATAAGCTGTTTCACGGTAAAATGGCAGCCATGTCATGAGGGAAAAGGAGTGTAAATGTCAGGGCCCTGTGCCAATTAGACACAAGGAGCCAAGAAGTAGACAAAGGTAAAACGTGTGCATATTTTATGAGATCTTGCCACTATGATATGGACAACCAAGAAAGTGACAGAGACCATGTTTAAAACGAAAAGAGCTGCCACTTAGCTTTAACATGACAAGTCATTAGCCATTTGTGCAGAGTGGACCTGGATCAGAACAGCGGCCGTGCTGCTCAATGAGACGTTTTACATAGCCAGATACAAACACTGAAAATACGAATGCCTCCCTGCCAAAGCTGTTCCACACTGATGGCCATGAAAAAAAACACAGGGATGAATCTAATTATTTGACTATGGAGTTGATTTGAGCTCTAGGTCTCCAGATAAACTGACGACGCTGACATCATTAAATTACTCAGGCCAGACAAACTGTGTACATCATCCATAAACTGCAAATATGCAGCTGGAGTATGGATACAGATAGATGAGCGAGTCACTGCTATGTCTCAGCAATAACCCAATAACAACAGTTTGCACTCACTATCCTCAGGGGGAGTTTTGTTCTATTTGGGGTGAACTCCCTTCATTCCATATTACCCACCAAAGCTCAGGAATCATCTTTGACTACTGCAGAGGCATGGTGCATGCTGGACTGTACAGTGTCGCAGGGCTGCAGGCACTGGCCTGCAAATGTGTGGACACTACTGCCGGAAGCATTTTCAGCTTATGGAGCATCAGGAGTGAAATCATGACTCAGGAGCTCGTCAGATTTTCTGATGTTTGGCTATGGTGTTGGGGGAGTGTACAGTAGTAGGCTTGAGTTGTGAGTTATCCTTTGAGTGTTTTGTTTTTTTGCATAACCTTTCTCTTTGGGAACAAAAGCTGAGTGTGTGACCGTGTCCCAGACAAAGAGAACTTTTTTTTCCTATAAAACAGAGCACCAGGAGCTGTAAACCATCAACAATTACTATAACATGCCTAACAACATGACTCAAACAGGCATGCATAAACATTAAACAGCTTCAGAGGTTTAGGGCAGAGAGGAGACGACACGAGGAAGAGAGCAAGAAAGAGGGCACACATTTCCTAAAGCAAGAACATTAAAGGCTGACTATAGTTTACAATACAAAATAAATTGGATTTTATAAAGCAGAGTAAAAAAAAGAAAAAAGAAGACTAAACTAAATTGAGGTCAGAAAACAACTTCCTTGCCACATTCATACTGAGGAATTTGACTGATTATTAGGACTGCTGTGACAGCCAGTTTTGTAATGATACTGTCAATGAAGTCAAATAAACGTGATTGGCTGACAGGAAAGAGGTAGTTTTCCTTTGCCTAGGGTACATCGCTGCATCCTCCGTGCTGTACGAGAGCCTGCCACATAAATACACAGCTATGGGAGTCCTGCAGGAGTTGTTTTCTTCCACGGTCATTTTTTCTCTCTAAAATACACTGAAAGGAAAAAAGACAAAGAACTGCACCTCGGCTAATTATCTTGAATAAGAGCAACGAAGATGAAAGCAGCCGATGCTTTAATTTACGTAGTCACAGAATATTTTGGGTTCATCTTAATAGCTGATTCCGAAGTTTTGACTTTGACCGTCAAACCTGAGACAGATTTTTCCCCAAACGTAATAAAAACTGGTACATTGTGTAACTGAAATATACTGTAGTCTATAAATGACCTTTGTCAAAAACAATGCAGGTGGCATCTGCTTTAAGCTCAACAGTACGGTAACCTAGATTTCTCAGAAACAACATTCACACTGTACTCTATTTTAAGACTGACCTATTTGTTAATCTGCCACTTTGGCTTCTCACATGCTCTCCAATACGAGCCAATGTGACACCTTATCTTTACAGAAATCTAAAACAAAATGCCAGCACATCCAGCAGAGCTTTCTTTTTTATTATCCATTTTGATTATTTAGTTCATATTACCATTATCATCATTATTATTTAATGGAAAAAGTCACATTTGTCAACTCCAGATACAACCCAGTCCGTTTGCCATTTGAGCCGGTTATAGTTTGTGGGTGTAGTCGATAACGTAGCAGACCGAAAGTTAAACATGGGACCATTTTTCTGCAGCACAGCAGAAACCAGCAGAAGGCTTAATTATGCCCACTGGGTGTTGACTTTACACTATGTGGCAAGATGCAATGCTGGAAAGCAAGGGAACAATATCCTGATCTTCTTCCTTTGTTCCTCTGCTAATCATATGTTCAGGAGTGGGGATGAGTACCAGGTCAAACATCATGGCGATGTGTCCTTCGTTGACAGGGCAACAGAATCCACATTACTCTTTATGTTTACTGAAAAGTGTTACTGAATTCATATCAAATGAAAAAAAAAAAACATTTACCATTTAGAGCCTTTATCCTAACACTGGGGTCAAAACCTGTCTTTACAGCTTTTGCACGTACACACCAGACATTCACGGCCAGTGCTGCTTTACTTGTGGAGCTTTATTCTAAATATAATAAAGGCAATTTTATCTCGGTCAGTCAGACTTTAAAAATGCTTTTGTTCTTTTTGTCGATACAACACATAACCAATTGGCTGGAATGGTTAGTGTGGGTCAGACCTTCCAAAGGCAAAAAGTACCAGAGCGAGCACCTCAAGGAACCTTAAAGAGCAAACCTTAAAGCTGGAGATTGCTACGCAACCACACTTTGCAATGGTCAAACTGCAGCGGAAGGGAGCAGTGAAAGATGTCGAACTCCTTAGCAACAGCAACATCAGATAAAGGAACAGATGAAACTTGAAAAATACCAAGGGTTGAAAGGGAACGATGAAAATGGTGGGATGTGAAGGCAATAGCAGCACCCGCAGTATTCTGAAATATGTGACCCCAAACTGGGAGAAAGCTTCCAACAGATCCAAGGAACAACAACAGAAATTTGTCCAGAAGAGTGCAGTCATCAGAAAATACAAGACAGAAGCCTCCTTCTCTGATGGTTATGGATGTGGGCTTGAAAGGACTATAGCTCACATGTGTGAGAGTGTGGAGTTTGGGCATTAGAAACAATCCATATAAGTATCGATGTGTGGTGCACTTTGCAATAGATTCACATCACAATTAAAATAAACTGTTGTGGCTCTTCAGTGAGTTAAGTAGAATGAAAAATGTCCTAAGCAAATATAATGACTTTAGGTGTATGGGTAATAGAGCACATAACAAAGTGTGAAACATTTTATAACACCCACAATTGAGGTTCAGAGATACATTTAAAGAATGTGAGCCCAATAGAGGAGCTGTGTTCTACGCAAAGCTGCCGTCTCTGAAGGGGAGACATTTGGGCTGGAAATAAAATGAAACTAAGAGATATGCCGACTTGAAAACATGATGTAAAGAAAGTACATCAATAAAAATTAGCTTTCCATTTTACATAAAGAACAATAATAAAAATTATCTTGGCAATGGGAAAGAAACTAAGGCTTGTGAACCATCTACCAAGACAACACTCGTAGAAGGGAAATGCAGGGAGGTTAGATGAGTAGGCAGAGCTGTATGTTGCAGCGTGGTGATGAGCCACAGTCACTGTATTGCCTTATATAAGAACAGTACGTTGACTGCCCTATGTGCTGTGGCAGCACTGTCCTTAACCCTACTTAAACCACATAAGCACACAGATGCTTTACAACTCGAAAAGAGACACACACAAACACTTGCGATGCAACGTGCGTATAGTTAAAGCAGATGAACACAAACGCATCCAAACAAAATGAGTGTGAGTGGGTGTAACAGTGAGTCACTCAGGGAGACAGAGACGTCTCTCCCCACTTGCGTCTGCAGCGGGCTTGTCCCGCTGCACATGTGAGAAAATTAAGGAGGAGAGCAAAAAAGGGAATGCAAAAAAGGAAAGCCAGAAGAAAAAAGCTGACTCCAACTCCCAAACTCAAAATATCTCACGTCTTAAGATGTTCCATAATGGCAACACTGAAAAGGAGTAAGAGGGTGAGACGAGAGCGAGTGAGGACATTTGTGTCTGTGCTTTGCTGCAGGCACACACCATTGGTCCACGAGCCTGTCAGTCTGAGCACAATTAGTATAGTCATGAGCGGGGAGAGGGAGGGGGGGTGGTGTTGGGAGACTAAAACGAACCAGAGGAGACTCAAAGAGGAGAGGGGCATGGCAGGACCTGTCACAGCTCATCAGAGCACTGGTACATCGCATCTGGCCTCTGTAATACTGAATGGTGAACACACACACAGACTCAGACACACCCACTCACAAACAAATGGACTTGCTTGCAGAATACATGGTCAAACAGAGCACACACACATCCATACTGACACAGATAATAATGGAAACTGGCACAAAAAACATCCCTACAGACATCCAGATAATGCAACACACACTCGTTTACAGTAAATATTCACAGAATTCTCTAAGCTAAATTTCTGAGTAACTTTCACAGATTAACTATGGTGCTGCTGTGTACACGTGTGGTGTCTACGCAGACAAAGAGAACAGCACGTCTGTATAATCCATTTTTGTACATAGTCTGATGCCAATTTCCAAGATGTTGCCTGACATAGGCTAATGCAGCTTAACCAAGCATGTGTGCGTGTGCATGTGTGTGGAAGCTGTGCTTGAAGCCACAGCAACATCTTTCTTTCTGTATGCTGCAGAATAAGCAAGAGGCCAGTTCATTCGTGACAACGTTAGCCAACATGATGTCAGAGTGTGTAGCGCTGCTGGCTGGGAGATACCTGCTGTGACCTCCCCTTGTTTTGACCTTAAGAAAAGAGTCACCCCCCTATGCTCACGGCCTCAAAAAGATAAAGAAAGGGAAAAAAAGCTTTTAACACAAAGTCCAGCCCTCCACAATCTCATCCTCAGCTTTTGGCCTTGGATGTTAAGCGTTTTTTTTTACAAATACCTTCACAAAGGATTAGGGGGTGCTTCAAAATAAGTTATTTAGCTATCAAAATTGGTCAAGCAATGGTAATAAAAAGGAAAATTACACTATTCACAATGGCCTCCAATAACTGAAGGGGACACATTACATCTACATCCTTAAACGTGTGTGAACGAGGCATGAAATTAAGCCCTCCTGCTCATATCAAGTAACATCTTTGTAGCCTAATTTAGTGGTCAGACAGGCCCAGCTGGAAAATGAGAGTGGACAGAAAATTCTCCATTGTATGGATGAATTCTAAAAAATATTTACCTCAGGGTGCAGAAATGTCTAAGCCTCTCTGGCTCACCTTAAAAGTTAAAAGAACTCATCTGAGAACCTGTTATAACTGCATTGCTGCCATAGCGACAACTCTCAAAGCTGAGCCAACAGCAACACAGACAGGCAGGCAGCTCTTTAGCTCACAGACAAAAATAACTGGCTAACAAACAACACCAGCAGCAGTACCACAAAAAGCCCTTATTAAAAATACTAAATGAAGAAACGTATTTTGCACAGCACCAGCTCTAAAAGAAGAACATGCTACTGCAGGCAAAAAGCAGACCATCGCCCACAGTAACCACAGTTTGAAGTCAACTTCAAGCAATATCCATAAGGGTTATCCTTCAGGTCAGAAGGTTAGCTGTGTCAATCATACATTCTGACCATCTGCCTACTTCCAGATTTATTCACCTCTACAGAGCTGGCCCCATTTTAATCAATGCCACACACACACACACACACCGCTTCGACAGGCTGATTCTGGAAAATATGGTTATTTGAATAATAATCTAACCACACAATAAGATATGCATGAGGTTCAATCGTGGCAATACAAAACTGTGACAATTTCCCACCAATACAATACATACAAGTATTCACATCTGGACTCCCTCTTCCGGGCTCCCTGTAACATACTACAGAGTAATGAAGCGCAAAACACATACTGTTGAGGCATCTGGTGCAGGCAAAGGGAGAGTGACAGAACAAAAAGCAGCAAAGAGAAAAGAAAAATGGATGATAATGGATTAGAGGGAAGTAAGAAACTAAATTGGGAAAAGTTCCCAAAAAAAGGAAGAAAAAACGGGGGGGGAAAAAATCACAAAAGCAGGACAGCCTGAGGAGAGATAGGAGCGCAAGCTGTGTACTGTAAGGAACAAGTGAGGAGACGCACAATGGAGAGATGTCTGTGCCCACAAGTTTGTTGCAACCACAGGGAGCTAAGGCGAATTATCTCACACAAAGGGCATCAGTACAGGTCAACAATCTGACCACAGCGTGAACACCTCGAGGGAAAGGGTGGCAGATAGTGACAGTGAAGGAGAGAGAAAAGCGATCAGATGAAAGGCAAGGAACAACAATGAGACACACTATCAGTGCAAAGACGGAAAGGAGGGTGGGGTGAAGGATGAAAAAAAAAAACACTAGCAACGATAAAAAGCAGAAGACAAGAGCAAATAAAGCATGAAATTAAATGCATATGGAGGGAGTCAATAAAAAAACAACAACAATTAAAAGAGACAAAGAGAGCGAGCACAGACGTTATGAAAACTGGATTTTACAACTACCATCTTGACAGAAGCGCCACACCCACTCTGTCACATAACTTTCAAACAAGGATAAGCTAGACAAGAGGTTTACTGATGGGCAAAATACTAAACAGTGTCAGTTGTTTCTGAATGGTGATTAAATATTAAAGCCACTAACAAAACCTTTAGCAACAATAAGAAATGCCAGATCACACTTTGAAATGACATTAGGGGGTTAATTATAGCTTATAGGTTCCCTGAAAATGGGAAAAGAAAACATGAATGATGAAAAGACACCCTGTAGATTGGACATCTGTATCTTTTATATCACTGCGGAAATAGCCTCTTTTTTCTGCCGTGTCAACAGATGTACGGTCCCTTGGCGTCATAAGGTAAATGTGTATATGCATGTATATGTGGTTTTCGCAGTCTTGAAGTGATTCCAAGGAAAGATGAGGAGTGTGGCGAGTAAAGGAAAAAACAAAAATCGATCTGCCTCACTCTGCAGTGCTGCAACTACTGGGTGTGTGCAAGTGTTTTTTCTATTTGCAGGTGCCCCAACGGCAAGGGCACCACCAAGTGGTCAGAAGTAATCCCATACTGACAGATGGAGAACACTGGTGAAATTAACAGAAACACTCAAGATTTTTTTTATGAATATATGTAGTTAATCTTTTAAACACTTCACTTAAATCAAGAGACAATGCTGATACCAGCCATTACTTACAAAAAGCCACTCAGTCCATTCAAAGAACACAAAAACAGGTTTGTTTGTACCTCTCCCTCATTCCTGGGGGGGCGAATACTAGACAGATGAATAGTTTTGAAGTCTCCTGAGTTGAGTTTGACCACCATGGCATCGGCATTGACCACCTGCATCACCTGCAGGGAGACAGAGAATAGAAAGCATTAAAAACATATACATGAAACTCATTCGTAGATCCAACCAGTCAAAACGAGTGTTAAATCCACAGGCAAAGCCACATTCTTTCTGACCAGAGTGTTTGTGTTTGAACAAAAAGATCTAGATCAAAGATGTAAATCTTTGTTTTGTGAGTAAGCCAGAAAATGGACTGGCAGAAAAAACGGGAAGTAAAGGAGCAGGTAATGAATAAATGGGAAGGAAGAGATCCATTCAAAGGTAGGAAGTGAGTGACTGTGCAGACAGTGTGCTGTCAAGAGAACAGGGAACTGGGAGTGAGCTAAGAGGGAGAGATCCTTGAGTGACTGAGTAAGTTAGTGAGTTAAAGCATCCCAGCAGGTCTGCAAGGTTTGGAGGACAGGGCGAGGACGTTTGCCTATCTGGGGGATTGGCAGCAGAAGAGAGGGCGGGTAGAATATGGGGTGTACAAGAGAAAAACAAGCCTATAAAAATAATAAATATAAAAACATCCTGTTGAAGACAGACAGGCATTTACACAGACTTCTGCCCAAACCCAGCTGGCAGCATATCATTTTGAAGACCTTTACAAGAATAACTACGCACAAGAACTTTTCCAGCCCACGTCTTAATACCACTTCTTATATTCAGATAAGGAGGCTAACAGTATATAGCATGTGTGAATGCTTGAAACTAAAGCTACTAAACTCTGGTTCTCAGGGGCAGTGTTTGGTAACAGACCCCATTGGTTGTGGTTGACCATTGGTCATTGCTTCTTAAACTGAGGATCTAGAAAGTAATGACCTACTCCATAACATCTTTGTCTCAAAAGATGCTAAAGATGTGAAAAAATAGATACATTTCAACACAGTTTATACAAGTGCCTCTATACAAATCCCTCATCTAACGAGACATATTGGGGGTATAATGTGATTGAGATGGAAAACACACTCAAACCTTGAGCCTTTAAGTAGGCCAATTGCAAGAGACTTAGAAATCAATCAGCCTACACACGTTGCCGCCCGCGCATGCATTAAAGGGCCTCGCCCTTTATCACCTTAACTGTCCTTCATATCCAAGCAGTGCTTGCATTTCAGTCAACACAGCAAGAGAACCAAGTCAGAGCCACAGACTGACTGAAGTTTGGACCGTGCATGTGTTCTGTCCCTGTGGGCTGAGGAGAAACATAAAAACCCACCTAAATTTGAGAAAAGGTTTAGACTCTTAGGGCATAATACAGACATGGATCCAGGTGCGTGAGCCTCATCAGGAGATTCATTATTCTATCAGAGCAAATCAGACGGCCTATGCATTTGCCACCAGAGAACAGAAATTAGACCAACCCACATGCTAAATAGGCTGCCCACAACAGCAGCCAAAATACATCATACTCTAATCACTGAGCTGAGTGGGAGCGATACAGAGACATAGGGAGCAGGGAGGAGAGGGGAAGGGAAGGGGAGAGGTATAATGAGTGAGTGTGGGGGGGGGGGAATGCAATCACACAGACTCACGTGCACACCATCCCACACAACTTCACACTGTAACAAGGTCATTTTGGGGCCTGCCCAAGTAAATAAAGTGCAAGGAAAAGAACATGGCAGAAGAGGAATAAAAAACGGCTAAGCTTATGCTGGCTTATGATCAGCTGGATGAGGTGTGAAGAAAAAACGCAAAGGAGGACAGAACACCCTCCAAGAAAGAGGAACTGAAATTTGGAGCCACAAAGACAGAACGAGCGTAATCTGACAGCAAATATCACAAGATGAAAGGCAGAAAAAGATGGAGAATAGATTTTTTTTTTTCTTTCCCCCAAAACAGAGGAGAAAGTCTTTGGGAAGAAGCTGCCATGAGGGTCGAGCAAGCAGGCAGAGAAGACAAATAGGTTGGCAGCATGACTCACTGCTCTAATCCTTTCCTGAAGAGGAGGGGTTATACTGCCACCCTCTGCCCATAGAAGACATGACATCTGCAGTAAGCAAGATCAGTCAGAGTGCCAAGAGGATGTTGGCAATTGTCAGTCAGTGTGTTGTTTGACACTAGAAGCCTCTAAGCTGGTTTTAACCAAAGAGCCAAATGCAGGCTTAGCCAGGACTCACTGGCTCCTAATGTCAGATCACCACCGCTGAAACAAACGCCTAAATGCTGTTCCTGTCTTATCATTTGTAGCCAAACTATGGAATAATAAAGACTCAAGCGTAGTGTCTGAACACTGATGAAAAAATGGGGAGTGACCAGTTTGTATCGATTTTGAATTTTATAACCGTTTACCCAAGGGACTGCTGCTGTTCCAGTTCACAGATTTCAAACTGAGCGCAAACTAATTCCCTCCTTCTAATTATATTCCCTAAAATTGACTTTTTAAATATCTTTCAGAAGCTGTCTAACCTTGAGCCTGTCTATACGACTTTTTCTTAAAAGTAGGCTTTTCATTAGTAAAAAGGGATTTATGCCACATCACATTTTGTTTAGCACCTCACAATTTAATGGATCACCTGGGCAAATGGAGGTTTGGGGGCTTATGGGACACGACCTACGTATGCTTCTACAGGCCTGATAAGACGGGAGAAGACATAGGTTGAGATTGGTCAACAGGGCTCACTTGTGGGAAAGGAAGGAGTGGTTAAACGCTCCATGCATTATGATAAGCTTTATTGTCCTGCTGCCAGTGACTTCAAAGTCCAACACATTAAATGGAGGGAGCAATACCATGAGCAAGCATGCATCTGAGCCACTATCAAGAACAAAAATAAATTAAAACAATTGACCCAGGAATGCATCAGAAAAATGGCCCTCAGATATGAAGTAGAAAGTGATTTCCATAGCTGGCAGCGGAAACCCAGACACCTAGGAGGAGAAGCCACCACAGAAGGACAAGCCCTTGCACAGTATGGAGCACTGACAGGTTTAAAAAGTGATGAGAGGTCCTACAGTCACTGGAACAGACCAATATGAAAAACAGCACTAAGGGAACAACCACTGCAGCACGAGAGCCGATGCTCAACAAAAAAAATGCAGTCAGGATCTTCTACACCGCACAGGAACGGGAGCAGGCTTTATACCACGATGCTGGTGTGACATAACACCCTGTGCGTCCTTCAGGTCCAGACTGGAAACTGGGGATTGCTAGCCTACCCAGACTTTGTGCTGGTTGACAAACTACAGAGGCACATGCAATATTATAAATGTTTTATCCTTTCTCTAGCCTGCTCCCTTGGTCTCACAAAAAATTACATGCAGTTTCTTTTTGAGCTTTCTTTTGCGTCTGCAGTTTATCGAATTCAGCATGTAAGCAGATTGCCAGTGTAACACCTTTTATGTAACCCTCAGGCTAGCCATGAATTTTTCAGGGTTTTAAAAGTTTAGGGCCCAGAGAGAGCAAACACAGACAAGAGAAACACTTCAAAAAACACATATTAAATTAATATATTTGGAGAAAGTGGCGGTTGAGTTTCTGCCAATCTAAATATGTTTTAAGGTAGTAACATCACAAAATTAAAGTAGAATCTGGGATTTTTAAGCAATCTAATTCTGACAGTGAAGTCATGCTTCAGTATTGAATTATTTTAATTTAAAAAATGCCAACAGCTTGAAGGGAATGGACCCACCTGCATTTGATTTTAGTAACACTGCTCATCCCACTCTAAGTTGTAACCTCCAAAGCCAGTATCCATCCCTTGTCTTTTTGGGGACTGCTGCTACAACATATGGCAGTCATTTGGCCTAAATTTGCCTGGGGATTGCCTCAAGGTTGCCGTTAACCATTTTTTATACCACCACTGCAGAGGGGGAAGCTTTATTTCTACTTTTTATTCAGGAAGGATGCAAACGTGAAAATAATATGCGTCAAGAGGATGTTTCTTAGAAGCCTAAGAGCATCCATGGTTTTATTACCATGCTGAAAGAAAATTGGAAATGTCACAGTCCACATCAAATGAGGAAAGAAAGGGAAACAACCGGCGGAGTAAAAATAAGTTCAATGGATAAGCATTGAACTTATTTTTACATTCTAAAGCAAAATAGAAATATGTGTGAAGAGGCAAGAAAAACATATAAGCCAAATTAAGTCCTCACCTTTGCAACAAATTGCCTGTCCTTCTGGTCCAGGTTGGCTGTGGGTGCAACATAGTCTTTCCAGATTCGAATCTTGCGCTCTTTAGCAGATCTGACCAATAAACATAAAGAAGCTTCCATCAGAACATCAACAATTTAGTTTTTTTAAGCATATTTACTCATTGGTTGTATTTAACAGGAAAAACATAAGCAGAATATCAAGACTGGTTAAGTAGTATGTTATTTTCTGTCTTAAAGTCTTCTCCATGAGATGTGTGCAACTTGTCATCTGTCTGAGCCGTGCAAAACTCTAGAGCTGCTCTCTCTGCATACCGCTCTGCAGCTCGTAGTTTCTCAGCTCCTTGGGTGTAAACAGCCATTGACCAATCTACGCAGCGTGCAAATCCTTCCTTCAATAGGAGTTCTGTGATATTGCCATTCTGCAAAGGATGGAGGTATAGTCAAAAATACAGGACATTTCTTAAATGAAATCTCTACCACACAGTCCTGATTTCTGTCTTACCGGATGAAGGATGGTACCCAGTATGATCTGGTTGGGGCAGCTTTCCAGAATGATCTGAACGTCTCGTTGAAGAAGACGGGACTCCGTGAAGAATTTGGCCTCGGCAGCAAACGGCTCTGGTATTTCAGTACCATCCGCTTCTCTCTTGAATGTAGGGCACTAAAGACAAAGATAGCATGGGAAGCACCATGCTGTCATCTGCACATAATTTACAAGTGTTTTTTTTTTTTTCATTTTCCCATTAAAAGTATCTCAATCAAATGCATCCAAATGCTCTTTCATTTCAGCTGTTATTAAAGTCCCTGCACTTGATTTTTAATCTGCAATCTTTATGAGAGCAGCAAAATATCAGAGACATGAGCCTTTGTGCAATGAGACGAAGAACACCTTCAAATGGATGCAATATCTTCAAGTGGGAGATGAAAAAGATTAGTTATCTGGAGTGGTTCATTGGCAAAGCTGGGCTTGGTGATAGAGATTGATGTGGAAATTTAGTGGCGCACATATGATACTGATAGAATAAATAGACCCGAAAAAAAAGGAAGTGTTCTTTTATGCCTACAACAACAGAGGGGCTGTTTTGAAAAACTGTCAGAAAGGTCATTAAAAAAAAAATCCTAAAGCCGTAATAGAGGATTGTGTTTACCAGACGGTAGCCATGTATGAACGTTGTCTATTCAACACTAAAAACCGACATATAAAATACACTGTGTGATATCATATGCATGTGCAGTGAGAGAGTGGCGGTTACCTTAACACCAGACAGCATAACAGTGACCAGGTAGTAGTCGGGGAGTAGCAAGGCACGAACAACACTGCCATCACGTACATGCTCAATGATGGCTAAAGGACAAAAGCAGAAACGTGTAAGGAAGAACACTGCATCAAATGATATATGCCAAAAAAACTAAGGTTCCCATGTGGCCAAGGGAACTATTCCATTTGCACAGGGGATGATCATGACTGAACTCAAACAAACATCTTTAATCAACTGTGGGACAGAAAGAGTTCTATGAGGGTTCTCTCACAGAAAGAAGGAAAATCACACCCATAACTCCACTTGAAGCTATTCTCCCAACAAAAATCAACAACACCTGAGGTAGTGTTTTCCTCATGGAAAATAAAAAACACTTCAACCTTCAGCCAGGATGCCAAGAATGCTAACACCACAAATTCTGGAGGTGCCCTCCTTTCATGCGTTTAAGTTCAGATGCAAGTCATGTAGTTGACGAATATCAAACTGAGAACAGAGAGCTGACGAAAAGATTTCACAGATGGCTCTTTGATCTCCACTGGGAGGCATCGCCAAGAGCAAAATACATCCATTCCTCTACTGAAAGAAGAAAAAAAATGTTGCTTCTGAAAATATGAAGACCAACTGTCAAAAATGTGTTTTATCAACAGTTCACATTTGAAATCTTAAACGACACTATATGCACAACAATGGCATTTGAGCTAAATAAGTCTGAAAAGTTTTAAAGGCATCAATTTAAAGGCTAAAGCACAGGACTTTTTCACCTATTCTCAGATGAGGTCTGAATAATCTGTCATATTTATGCAACTGTGAAGATTTTAAACTTAACAAAAAAAAGTAAGTAATAGTGAGAAAGGACTCTGTCCACTTTCCCCGATTTTATTAAAGAATTGTAAAATAAGCAGAACCATTGCTCCCAGAAATCACGTAGTAAATGAGCCGCATGCTGAACCTCAAGCAGGTCAGAGGTGAGACGGACCGAATGCACCAGTGAAGAATGACAAACCGAAATATCTGATGTCAAGAGGATGTCTGACTGATCCTTTAAATTAGGCTTTTACGAGAAACAGAAACTTATGAGTGTTTTGTGTCATCTGTCTTTGTTTCACCAGAAACAGTTCTCAATGTGGGTGTTTTGAATTTATAAACGCCCTTCGAAGTCATTACCATTGATGGGTTTCTGATGCAGGGAGTCAACAAAGTTGCGAGGATTCTCGATGGTGTACTTCAGGTCGCGGATGGTGTGCGCGCCGCCGCCCTCGGTCCACATGCCCTTCTTGGAAGACTTTGCCTGATCCTCCAAATCACAAAGTCTGGAATGCTCTGGACTGGGCACAGAAAAGAAGGAAAATGTTTTAGACATCAGGAATTATAAAAGCAAAACATATGTCAAGCTCTGTACATCAGTGGTGTAATATTATTAAAGACTGTTACTTCCTGTATTAGCAGTGGATTCGCCTGCTTCTAATGACTGATTAATTACATTTTCATGATGCGATTTAACAATATAGCACTTGCTTTTCTCTCCAAATGATGTGGAATGAAATGTTATAACTTCTATGAAGCCTGAACAGCAGAGGGGCACCTCATATGGGCGTATCTATCACTGAGGAATTTCAAAATCTAATTTATTGCTTTCAGATGGAAACAAAAATTAAATCAGTATCTGAAACCAAACTTAATCGAATTAAGTAGTTAAGCAGCATGAAATTTGGGAACTGCCAGCACATGCAGCAGAAAGGGCCTGTTCTGACAGAGCTTGAAATTAGCAGAATCTCAACAAGCTACAATTAATTTAAAAATTTATCCAACAATTAGCAAAAGCTGCTCCTAAAGTTAAGTTTAACATTTCTAACTGCAGGTGGCAAAATCCCTTCCCATTTATCTGAGCACTACTGAATACAAAAAGACTAAATTAATACCATACTAGCCCTCAAAACCACGAAGCCCTTTTGAGAGGCCCTTGGTACAACTTTAATAATTCAGAACTTTATATGGCCAAAAGAATTTTGTTCTTCCAAGAAGCACCACTCAACTGTTATACGAGTTGGGTTGGGGTGAGTTGTTTATTTCTAAAAATAAACAGAAAAACTAAATATTTCAAATCTTAAAAAGTCACTTTTAGCTCAGTGGCTGTCCCCAACTGGTTTGTAATTAAAAAAAAAAACAAGCAGAAACACACACACGCGCAGCAGACGCAAAAAGCTGTGTGCTCCTCATTGAGCTTCTGGACACTTGCCATACATATCTCCTCTCCTCACTGATTTAGTAACTTATTTAAAAGTGAAGCAAAACAATTTATTTATTTTTTGCTTATTGAGGAACAAGAAAGGTCCAACTTTTTGTAAGGAGTAAACTGTGTTTAAGCTACGGTACTTAAAATTTGAGCACTAAATTAGGAGCTAAAAGTGAGAAAAAACAAAAAATCAAGGGAAGCAGACATTGTAGAGTTGCATGAAAAAGAGAGCATGGTATAAGCAGAGATTGTTTTAAACAAAGAAAAAAATGGAAACTTTTTTGTGTGTGGAGGCAGATGGTAGTGTCTTGACTCCAAATAGATCAGGCTCTGTTTAGGTCATTGACTCCTCCAACACACTATCGCATCAAAACAGATATTGCTATTGAAGAAACTGAAACACTGAGCAAGACTACAGAGGGAGCAAAGGCCAGGAAAATAACATTCCTAAGCCTTATATTCCAGCAGGCTGTAGGCGACATCTTTCATCTCCATACGGCTCCATCTGAACAGCCAAAAATACTTTCGTATTGTTTGATAATGTTATAGGTTTCCTGCTGTCACTGTAGATTTTACAGAGGCTGCAGGTAGCCAAGTCCCCTCTGCATTTGAGAAGGGTTCCAACAGTGGCTCCTAATGACAAGACTTCCCCTCCTGGTGCAGTTGGTTTTTATGTTAATGTGCCTCACTTTTGCTCTGGTAGTTAGATAAGCCAATTAGTCAGGCCCCATGCCTGTGACTTTAATTCATCAAAAGGAAAATGTAAACCAGAATTTCATAGGCATCTCAGTAAGTGGATTAAACATATTTAAAGAAGAGAAGTCATGCTAAGTGATAAAAAGTGATCTGGAGGTGGAACCATCAAGACTGCTGAACGCATCCGTGTCAGACGCAGCATGATTCAGCATTAGCAAGGTCTGGATGAAGTCAAAGTTAAACTTAAAATTCCGACAGGAGACGGAAAACTTTTGAACTGAATAGGCAAGTAATGAAATTAATCATAAAACAGCTTTAGGGATCAAAAAGAAAGAAGAACTTACTCCAACTGATTATAGAATAACATCTGCATTATTAATCGCAAATATTAAACAAAGAAATAAAAAAGCACCTTCAGTGGAGCGACACTGTTGCCACAGTCTGTCACAGGTTGCTAGTTCCGTATCTGAGAGGCTAATAAGAAGACTGGATCCTCTGAACAAACGTAATATGTTTAATACGTTACGGGGGGGACCATTACAAAATGTCACCATTTTTTGGTGCTCTAGTGAATACTGAGACCTGGCCCCCAGCCAAGAGGTTTGTGATCTGGCTGCACCGTGTTAGCAAGCAGCAGTCAGCTTCTAAACACATGTTTAAGTGCACTGTCCGAAGCCATCAACATTATCATCACCTACATAATTATCGTCACATCACTGATAGTGTGATCAACGTAGCAAGTCACAAGGAGTCGTAAAATTGGAGGCAAGTGCACTGAGGGAAATACAAAAGCCGTAGGTCCATACTGAATAATGGGACCCCCCTTTGGCCAAATGATGCCAGCTTACACTTGAAGCATCATTTACATTAGAGCTTGTTATGGGCCATTGCACAGAATTCTTTAAATGGGTCATTAGTGGCAAAATGTTCACATCATCTCTGTTCATGTTGGAATATACAAATGCAGCCGCATGAGTCTAATTGCTTGTAATGTGTGTTATATGCAAATACTGCCACTGGGGGGGATGGACAGCATTTTGTCATATAGCACGGGGTGTATATTTAGGGGATCAGTGCATAGGGGCAATGTGGCAGAAAGCGGTTTCAAAGGGACATTATTACAGCAGTGGGGGCATGCCGCCACCATCTGGGATAAGCACGGTTTTCACTTCTCACAGTTAGCTGCGGTCTTAAATGCATCTCCCCACAGATTCTCCAGAGTTGTAACACAATAGGTTTCCTCGAGCACTAGTTTCCATTATGTAACAAAATATTTCCTTTCCATCCCTCAAAGATTTTATTTCCTGAAGTATTTTTCAACGCCAGTCTAATAATAATTCTGCACAGTCATTTTCTCTAAATAACTGGGTTTCCATGTGTCCAGGGTCCTGGTTTTGCTAAACAGAGATTATTTCTTGCACATGCAAACATAATTTGCTGCCTTCAGAACCCTGGATTGATGGCCAAGATAAAACAATATAAATAATGTGTAGTGTAAACATTTATCCAGGTCCGTCATCATTCACTGCTGGTGAAGAGTTTAATTGATAAGGTGACAAGAAATTAGACAACTTTACATTTACAACACTTTTTTTTTTTTAAACTTATTTGTGACTTATTGTGACAGCTTCGATTTTGAGAAAACTAAAATTCTTCCATGAATATGTACATGCCTAAACTCAAGTATTCTTTGAGGCAAAGTCTTACTTGTTTCCTCTGATTCCTTCTTTTCGGACTGTTGCAAGACCTTCATTCACCAAAGACTCTGCGATGTTTTCACCTGATGTATCTATGATGGTAGAAAAAGAGATTTCACATGCTTACAATGACAAACTCTCAACAGCAACAACTTCTGAGAAAGAAATATTGTAGACTACCATTTCATACTAAATGGTAAGGAAAATAAATATTTGTAAAAAAAATAAAAAAGAGTGTTGGGGAGAGATTTAAGAGGTTGATGTTTAGGAGTGTTGGGCACCTTTTCCCAGATAGACCATGCCATACTCCCGGCCCAAAGGTGTCTTGTTTTCCACAGTGAAGCAAACTTCTTTGCCGATTAGTTTCTTCCTCAGGAACTCTCTGGCTTGGAATGCCCATGGCTACGACAAACAGAAAATGTTGAGCACAAAGTGATCACAACAATGCAAGTCACAAAAGCTGGTCAACATGATATCTGCATCATCACTGTATGCGGTGTAACACCGCACCAGAAGTGTGTTGCTTAATTTCCTGGTAATTTTATGTGAACATCTGTTAATCTCAAAACAAGTTCAGCTTTTATTTTCTTCCATAGGGTCACCTGATAGAAAGGTGAGCCATATGAAATTGAATTCAGTTTCAGCTAAGAGCAGTTTTGGTGCTGCCTCCAACAACTGAGGTAAGATTGCTTTAAAAAGGTAGGAAAAAGGTATTCTGTAGGAAACTACAGAATAACTAAGACGTATCAGTTGCATACGTGTGCTATGATCTTATTCTTTATTTCCTTCGCAGATAAGTCACTTCCTGTGTGTGGGCCGACAGTCAAATAAGTTTATGTAATGAGAGATTGACATGAGTAAAAAAGGTACATCTACCTGAAATAAATCATATATAAGAAAACTAAAAAAAAGAAATAAAAATAGTGCCCTCTAAAACTAAAATGTTCTTTCAACATATGTATTTGTTTTTCTTTTAAACAGAATAGACTACTGCCACAGATGATAACATGTTTAGCTTTGTTGAGTTGTATACAAAGGAACAAAAGGACCGTCTTCTTCACTGTCCCCTCCAGTGAGAAACCTTATGGATTCTGAGTAAGAAGCCGCACTTTATTTCGCAAAGCAATAACTTCGAAAAAAAAAAAAAAAAGGATAGCTGTCATTATTTTATCTTGGACAAACCGAATATTTCTGGAAGATTATTCTCATTGAATAGAAAATAAATGTCAAGGCGATATTGAAAAATACATTACGCAAATGCAGACTGATCTGGCGCTGTGCTTCACGTAGTCTTTAACTGACTTTCTAAGACAGGTGCATATTCAAAAGAACAAGCCGTAGGGAAAAAGATGCTTACCTCATCAGGGATGTCCTTGGTGTCGGGCTGGCCTTGTGCTGCTCGGCGGGCCATGGAGCCAGCTCGGACATTACTCAGATTTATCTGACGTTCTGGTGGCGGGCCTCCTCGAGGCTGTCCCCGAACAATGATAGCACAGCCAGACAACACCTGGAGACGACAACCAGCACAGTCAAATGGAGAAGGCAACAGTTTGACTAGTTTCTACTGCTTCCAAAACCACAAAAAGTTCATATTCTGCTGTACTGTCACTCTTCAAATCTATTCAGCCCTAACATGAACACCACAGAAATACAAGCTAGAAGGCAATTCTTCTGTGGAAAGAGGACGCGAGTTTTAGTTTTCAGTTTCCGTCTCCTCCAGCACAGCAATTGATCAAATGGGATTCATTTAAACTGCATGACAGAATGACTACAATGAGCCTGTAGATGAGACGGAGTTCATCAGCTGCCCATCGACATTATCTCAGCAACTTTAACAGGAGTTTAACCTTTATAGAGCTGGAAGCAACTTTACTCCACGTGTTGTCATGGTGACAGTTTGTCATTTAAATGATAGGTGAGATCACGCCATCTGATAAAGCTAAATACAAAAAAAAAAAAAAAGATAACCTTCTCCTGGGTCTGACAACCATGGCATTTACATGAATCTGAGCAAACACTTTATCTGCAGACCCTCCAGAGTGTCTGCAGGGAGCATCCCTGGATGCTGTTGATCTAAGATGTAAGCTAGATAACCACTCATCAAATGACTGGAGTTCATAACTAACTGACTTACGCATCCAAGTACAGCAGAGTAGAGGCTGCAATTTGAATGATTAGACTCATTAGCCAGAACAGACATTAAGACTTGTTTTTTATTTTATTAAAAATTGTATCTCTCTTTTTAGAGATCTAACTCAATTCAATCAAATGCCCATATATTCTTAATTATTTGTTTATATTCATGGAATGAAGCTTTTAAGAATTTACCAATAATGCTCCATGTTAAAAATTGTGAATAGCAGCATCATGTAAACAGTGGATGTAAATGTTCTGATTACATTTATATGTCAAGAAGTCCCAAAAATGGGATAACCCACCTTCTTAATATATATTTTTCCCATTATAGAAGAACTAATCATGTCTGAATGATATGTTTGGTAACTTTCAAAATTATAATTAATGATAATGTGTAAATAGTCTAACTTGATAAACAAACAAGGATATTCTACATTTATAACATATCAGGAATGAAAAGACTAACAAGCCCATGGTGGACAAAGTAAACCTAGAAATAATAAATTTATAATAAAAACATTTCTTTGTTGGTTGACAGCAAGGACATTTAAAATACAATTACAATTATAAAACAAATGTGATGTACAAGTTGCCTTGAGTCAACTCAATTGTCCTTGGGCAGGACATTAATGTTCCAGTGGAGTTTCAAAACAGCAGACAGAAGTCTTCAGCTCTACTGACTGCCCCTCTACAAGTTTAACTACTCAAATAAATATGTTTTACCACTCTGCTCCCATTTTCAGTCCTCAAGTAAAGGTGAAACTGCTTTTAAAACTTATCTAGCATAGAAGTCCAAGTAAACAAAAAAGCTACACAAGGGCCTTGATAAGTGGGAGATTACGGGGGAGAAAAAAAAAAGGTTTGTAGCTACGTGTCAGTTTCTCCTGATTGGTTTTGACCAGTTCAGTGGGGAAATGCTACCCGTCTGTGACTTCAACTGACGGAACCCATTCAACAGATTTCTATCCAGCGGAACCTGGAAGTCTTCAACCACTCTGACCTGTCTGACTGCCTTACTGTCATTTAAAAAGTTAACACACGGGGACAAAAATCTAAAAATATTTTTGTTTTTTTTTTAAACTCAGGCTGAGGAGACGTTTCTCCGCTAGTTGACTCAATTTGCTTTTCGGCAAATAAGACTGATTCTATACTGATGATGTTCTATAAACATAGTGGACATAGTCAAACTGAAACTAAAAAGTTTATTTCTGTTCGAGGTGACGTTTGTAGGACAGTTAACGCTTATTAGCCAACAGCTATGTTAGCTGAGAATCAGAACATCTGTTACCGTTATAAGTTTCAAAGTTTTATTTTTTCCCACTCAGAGTGCCTATTAACGTTTTAAATTTAAGTTTGTCCATGAATGTTGAAAGTTTAGCATTTTTAACTACACGCTTTATCAAAGAAAGTACTTGTACTATTAAAATCTACATATCAAAGCAAACGTGCTAACGTCAGTGCCCCCTCAGCTTATTAACTTGCTAGCAATTTAGCTCCAAAGTGGCTAACGTTAGCTGGCATGCTGTTACAGCAAGGTAAGCCGAATGCAATTGACAGTTCTCAGAACTATTATGACAACTCTAGAATTGAACGGACAGTTGCTTGTGCAGTGTCGAATAAGCTCTCCTATAGCGTAACAACACAACCAACCTTTACTTTAGCTCATATTAGCCCCCACTAAGCTAACTAGCTATCTCCCAAGTGAGCTCACATATTCACGTGTTAGGATTCCTACCATTTTTACAATTCCCCTTTGCAAAGGAGCAGACGAAACAGGGGCTCCCTGAGCAGGTGCTGAAACGGATGCCATGTCCACCGGTTTGAGATATCACGCCGTTAAGAGGTAACCAGGTAAGGGAGCTGGGACTCTGAAGTGAGTGACTGTTCTAATGAAAGCCAAGAGAAAAAGGCTGCACACCGATCAACACACACGTTATACCGGAAACACACTTGACCATGCATACACACGCGCAGAAATCGTTCCGGGTCTGGGACTCAGAGTCAATGGGAGCGGACGGAGACGCTACGGGACCGCGTACGCAAATTGAAACGAGGCCTTCCGGTGCAAGAGGTACGACACGTCAGCATAGTGTTACCCGAGTTGATGATGCATTCAAGGGATCCAGGAAAAGTTTGAACTGCAATTAAAGATTAATTCAAGAGCAAATACAATGTTCAACTTTGATTGTGTGGAACATGTAATTAAAGCAGATACGCAGTTATTCCCAGAACATACTGTATCTTCACTGAATAATTATATTTCTTTTTTATAAAGGAAAACAAAATCTATTTATTGATTACCTGTTTGTCACAATATTTGAAAACATGTTTTTAAACTCAATAAAGCTTATAAACTTATTTTTGCAATATAGGTGCTTGCACTTCACATGCCTCAGTATGTGTGTGTGTGTGTCCAGCACACTGTTTTAAATACACAAACAAAAAATGTCATGCAGAGCTCATGACGAAATGGAATTACTGTAACATTTCATTGATTTGATCCCTATTAGTTTACCTGGTGAAAATCAGGGTATATTTGAATACATGATCACTTAAAAATACATTACAATAAAACAAAATGTGAGTAGATCTCATAGACAGACTCATTTGTTTTAACATGTCTCTGATAGTATTATTGAAAACCATATCTGGAAATTAGTTAAAAAGTCAAAGCCAAATATAATATTTTACACAACAAATTTGCACACGATACGTGTATAATAAAGAATGTATACAAGCATGAATATAAAAATAAATAAAAACATGCATACAATTCCTCACAACACACACACACACACAGTATCTGATATCATGCTGTAATGTTGTTTGTCGAATGGATTCTATGACAAAATTACTGAAATGAGATAACTGTACTAAAACTAGAGAAGTAGCATAAAACATTGTAAATAAATTGGAAAAAGTGCATTATGACCGATGTTCTATCAACTTGCCTTTAAATGTCATCGCAACTGCTGAAGCATTCACCGGCAAGCCCTGGCCCTGCCTTCAAGAAGTTAGATAGTAGCAGCATACATTAATCTAAACTTTGTTTATATCATACTGTGTTAATGGGGCATCAGGATACACAAGTTTCTTCAGCACAACAATAAGAAAAATCTAATGTATTGTATCTTATTAAAATCAAGTGTTTTAAATAACTCCACTCAACTATTACATTTAATGAGAAACACAAATAGTTGCCTTATACTGTTGAAGAAATTAGTTGCTTTCATGTTTGTAGACCAGTGTATCATATCAGAGTGGAAAAACTCCTATTGTATATTTATTGTTTCATCTGTTTGTGCTTTGGTATTTTTGAAGGTTGAACGGTGTGAATCACCACCGCAAGGGAGTAAAGATTATTTTAATCAATTTAGGCAGTTAAAAACCAGGGTGTGTGTTTTTTATATCTTTAATAGTCTTATGTAAAAATATATTTGGGAAATTTGGTAAAAGGTCATGTAGACTATTTTACACAAAAAATATGAAGTAGATATATGAAGTTAATAAAGAAGATATATGAGCATGAATATTAAAATAGCTAAAAACTAGCAAACAATTCTTCAGAATACACACAAGTGTTAATTTGCATCACATGACCACATACATGCACCTGTAACAGCATTTGAGGATTTATTATGAAAGCTACAAGCCTTGAAATAAAATCTAAGCATCATAACCCTACTGTTATTGGCTATACAAATTGACAATTTTCTGATTTACAGACTTCTTGAAACAATTTTCTGATTATTATACTCAAACAAAGATAGCAATAGTTTCCTTTAAAAGAAAAACCCTTTCAGCATGAATGTGACCATCACAACTTAGTATCATATATGGAATCGTGAGATCGGGTGAAAAAAGAATATGTGTTGGGCAAATGTTTTTGTGACCTGTTATACACATTGTTAGAAATTATCATGTAAGTTTTGACCTTACGATTTTGAAGTCAGTTACTCGAGTTAAACCAACCTGTGAAGAATGAATGGGAAGTTCCAAGAACGTAAATTTGACGACCCAAACTACTTTAGGATCCGATTGAAACGAAAGACGTGATTAGATAGAACAACATTTGTGTCGTGGTATTCTGGTTCTTGCTGGATCACCGCCATGTAAGGACAGGATATACGTGTTAACAGCAAACATAAAACAGTCTTTCTATAAGCAAAATGTGACAGCATTCACAAAGATAAAACTTACCAACATCAGCACGTGTTTGATCGGCTAGCTTTCTGATAACAGCGTGTGTGAATCTGACCATGGAGGTTGCTCTGCTGCGCACATGGCACCTCCGTGCGTTTTGGAGAGGTTTTGGTAAGCTTTTACGCGGCTGCGTTTTCAACATTTCTCAACTTTCCAGGACACAATTAAACACCATTATACGTGTTTCATAGTCAAGAGAACGAACTGAGACATTTATTCTCAACAGATACGTGGTCGTTAGTGCTATAAACTAAGAATCTCACGTCACTACATCAGGCGAGACTATGATTTACGCACCACGTAAACGTGGAGCTGTTTTAATAATACAACTGGAGTACTTTAATCAGTCTCGTTCCAAACACACTGAGCATGCCATGAAGTAGTATAAATCAATGACCACGTTAACTCATAGGTCATAAACAAAAAAATGCTCATCTTATTTATCTTTTGTCTCGGTTGGCAAGGAGATGATGGTGTCCAAAATGGTTGTCCCCTCTCCAATCTGGCTGACTGTACACAGAGTATTATTGTCCTCTAACTCATGGTTAATGTATAATGTGGGCCATATGGCATTTTAAAATCCGAGCCTTTATTTCTGTGGCACTTACATGTGTGTGGACCCAACTAATGATATTCAATTAGTCATTAAACAGACCAAAAGACGAGCCTTGTGTGGGTTTTCACATGGGCTAATATTTGCTCGTCAAATATTTCCCTTTGAACCGTTTACAACGCATTTTTATCTACTGGCTGCCCAAGGAACATCTGTGAAGGTTATTTTAGCCTCCCTCTTCTGGATAAACGGATCCCCCAATTGGCCCTCTCCTTGCGCCTATACGAGAGTCTATTTGTTCACGTTTTGAAAGAAAATGTAATAAAGACAGACTACGTGATAGATTTATGATTTATCAAAAGCACTTTACCATATGGCAGTCGTCATTGGAGCAGATTTCCAAATGTTTGCTTTATGAAAGGAGACCAGAGATCCTTTTAATCTGAGCCACTTTACCGGTGGAAGGATGCTCAAGTCACGTGACTTCAAGTCAAAATTGTAGGAAAGAATGTAAAATATACAGGTCACCATCATTAGATTTACATAGGAGGTGAAATAATGTTTTTTTTTCTGTTAATTTATTTTCAAAATATGTGCCATGGGCAAAACAGAATGTTGAGGAGCTGAAAAGTGATGCATACATGGGATGTCACCGTAAGACTTGCAGCCACTGCGCAAAAGATTACTATTATGAAAATGTAGGCACCAAACATTCTTCTTTCAAAACGTCCAGGATATGGCGTGTTATAAGGTCCTGGTGTGGCACCTGACAGACCCATTAATATGAAGCCCATTTTATCTCCTACCAGTATTGACATTTCAGGAAACAAGCCACCACGTCATGTTGAGGTCTGCAGGCCTATAAAACGCTGCCAGAGGCTGTGATTTCTCTCACTGTCGCTCATCTAAGAAGTGTGGAGTTACCTCGACAGTTAGAACTTTATTACAGTTTTTTCCACGCTGCATATAGTGAGTGACCATTTTCCTCGGGAGATTGTTGTTTTGGTTTTCCTGCTGACTGCAAGAGGATGCGCGGAGCAAACACTGATCTGCGACATAAAGGTGAGTTTTCGAGTTTATTTTCCACTTTGAGCTTGTTAATACAGTTTAAAGCAGTGGCCTATGTTTTTATGGAATATGATGAACTGGAACGGTCTTTTGTTTAATCAAATGGCAGGTTCTTGAATTTAAGAAACATCACTTTTTGTTTAAAGGTGGTCAAGGTGTCAACCAGCTGGGAGGAATGTTTCTTAACGGCAGACCTCTCTCAGAATCCAAGAGACTACAAATGATTGAACTGGCCTCGGAGGGTGTCCGTCCAAGTCAGATTTCCAGGATACTTCGGGTACGCACAAGCCAAATGGCACAGTTTAAGACCTTTAGATTTTTGACACGGTGGCTCGATGTTAAGTTTAACAATTTGACGTAAGAATATTCAAATTCAATTGTTCTGATTGACTGAAGTGGAGCCTGCTGCGTACTTTAGGTATCCAACGGCTGCGTTAGTAAGATACTGAGTCGCTACAGACGCACAGGACTCCTGGAGCCCAAGACTATCGGAGGAAGCCGTCCACGGCTTCTCACCCCAGATGTTATCTCCAGGATCGTCCAGTGCAAAAGAGAAAATCCAACCATCTTTGCTTGGGAAATTCGGAAACGACTGGCAGCGGAGCGATTGTGCAAGGCCACTAAAGTTCCAAGTGTAAGTAAAATCATTGATTTTGTGTTCGTATAGCTGCAACATATTCAGCTGCTGATTGAATCCTTTGCGCACTGTGTTTTGCAAGGTATCGTCTATAAATAGGATTTTAAGAAAGATCCACTTGGAACATGGACCAATGTGCATGGAAGCCAACGCTCCCATAATTACCGAGCAGGGTAAGATGTCAAACAACTCTTCACGACGAGAAAAATGTTTTAAAATCCCAAATGATCGACCGTCAACAGTTTTATTTGAGTTACTCAGCTGTAAACACCAAAATACTATAAATGCATCTTTTTAATAAACTGACAGCTGAGTAAACATTTAAAGAGAAAATGTGTGTGTTTTTCTGCAGAATTTGTTCTTGTCGATGAGCAAAATGAACAAGATATGGGCTGTGGAGAGCAGAAATCTAAAAGTGCCCAGCACAGAAACCGTACCACCTTTACTCCACAGCAGAGCAGAGTTTTAGAGCAAGGTAACCTCAAAGAATCATTAATGAACCACAACGCAACACATTTACATTTACAAATGAGAAAAACTTTCCTGTCTCCCTGACCAGAATTTTCACAAAGTCAGTATGCTGATTTATACACAAGAGAGAAACTGTCTGCTGAAATTAACCTTTCAGAGGACACCATCAAGGTAGGTTGAGCATATCCATCACAAGCAGAATCGCACTAACATTTGGCTTTCTGCTTATGGCATGCTTTGCTTCTCGCCTAAAGGTGTGGTTTTCAAACAGACGAGCTAAATGGAGAAGAGAGGCCAAGCAGAGGAGCAGCACACAGAGTAAGTGTGTTCTACTTATGAGATGTGCTTTGGCTGCAAACACATGATATTGTGATCCCACTTTTGGTAGACTGAAGAATAAGAATAGTTGTTCAAGTTAAAAGAGTTGTGATATAGCAAAGATAAGTTTCCAAGAACTTAACGTGATTTGGTCAAATATCCTCCGAGGGGAAGAAAACATAAGTGAGTGTGTGTGGCCTATGCCAGCAGAGGAGGTCAGATGTGTAACTACGAGCAGCTTATTTATCAAAGGCCTTTTTAGCAAATGTGCATTCACAATTATTAACATTTATTCCTATCTATTCTAACACATCCAGTTGAATATATCAATGAGATTTCTTAAATGTGAATTATTTCTTCACGGACAGTTTCACAGAATTCTGAAAGTGTTTTTTCAATTCCGGGCGCCATTCCCCATGATCTGAGTGACACAGTTCTTCAAAATTGGGACACGTCTCCACTGGATGTCTACAGAGACATGTTTACCTCCTCACCTGCTCAGCATCACACACACACAAAGTCAACCTTCCCTACTGTGACTAAGACAATCATTGGACACTACTCGGTACCTCAGCAATGGAACCAGCACGGGATGCCTCTCATGTTGAGCCAGTTTCAGACGAGTGACAGGATTTTTTTTAACCAGGATGTGAATTCCCAGCGCTGCATGAACTTGAAGTGGAACCCGATTTCCCACATTAGAGAGCAGATTTAACAATTACCGTATAATATGATTTACATACAGTCAAAAACATATGCAGTGTTGCTGAAGCTTTCCGGGCTGCATGGACACTTTGTAGCCAGAAGAGGGAGACAAAAGACTTAAGGTAACATCCAGAGGAAGTCCATTCCCTGACACTACTTGTCTTTTAAAAGCACTTCCACCACCTTTGTCAGCTCTCCTTGACTTTGTACACATGAAATAAATCCAATAATCGGGAGCACAAATGCTTGATTATGATACATAAATGAAAAGAGGCTTTGTTGTACTAACTGGTTACTACATCTAATTAAACATATTCAATAAATGTACCAAAAAGACAGAGTTAATCAATCACATACTGAACAATCTGGAGGTTATAAGTCTGTATAAAATGTTTATTATGGTGTGATGTTTTATTGAGATATCTTTTCAGGAGATAAGCTATTTTGTGTCAGTGTGTTATTAAAACAATAAATATAGACTTGCTTGACATGGAGTGGATTTTAGAGGTATGTGTATTGTCTAAATAACTATTTAAAGGTGAATTAAGACAGTTGATTATCATTTCAGCATGTTTCCTCATCTTTCTGGCCAGAAACATGACCAGACCAAAGTGAATGTCACCTCCTTTATAGTGTAAGGTTTTGTTACTGTGGAAGTGCATGAAGAGGTTACAGCAACCTTCCAAGGTTTCTGTCCAGAAAAAACCAGAGGGAGAATCTATAAAAACGTACCTTCAAAAAGTCTAAACATGAGCCGATATCTGTGCAGCACCATATCACTTTTTATGACTTTGACAGGGCAGAGGCTTTGAGTTCCTTTATATCCCTTTACTACAGCGGAGAGACAGTGAGACTCAGAGTTTCTTAATGATTGGTCACCACGGGAAAGTTCAGGATCAGAATGCAAACAGCTTGGTCAGCAAGATGGAAGTGACCTGCTGGCAAAATGACCATCTTCGGAATCTAACACCCTGAAGCCAGATAGGTAAATGATATCTCCACATGACAGTGTCTGTGCTGTGATTTCCACTGGAAACTACTTTCTGACCTGCTTTGTTTTTTTCCTGAGTTTTTCTTTTTTTGTATTGCTGAGAATGATCAAATGGATTGTTAACTAGTAACTTGACTTTAGAATACACAAGTATATATTCAGAAATGTACTGTACGGATCTGAAGGCTTGTGTTAACCTTATCCAGAGGCATTGGTGACTAACCAGGGCTTGGAGGCATTTGGGATGAAGCATCACATTGCAAATGCATTTCAGTCAGACAGATTACAATTCGCAATTGTTTTTCTGTTCTGGAATGAAAAAAGCAATACTCCAGATTGTTATAATAAAAAAAGTCCACAAGCCAGGATCCGTAACTTTAGAGTTAGGCTTTTAGGAAGAATGGTACAAAACAACAAGCGACAAAGCCTTTATTGCTCAATGTCTTCTGTCAGAACGGATCTCTCAAGTGTTAAAAGATTAAAATATTCAACGCTCCAACTTTTTGGGAATGTGTTGCAGGCCTGTAATGTAAAAATGAATGCTGTTTTTCTCTATATAGATAATCCAACAAGCTTCAAATATCCTGATATGAGTGGGACTGAGAACTCTTTGTTGGATATCTTTTTCACTCAAATAGAAATGTGGAAGAACTTTAATCTAGACATTCACTCAATGGAAAAACTTAATTGTTGATTTTTAACTTAACTTAAAACTCTAATTTTGCACCAGTGATAAACAAAAACGTTGTTCCCAGTAAAATCACTTGACACAGACATCCATCTTTCATCTGGAGCACGAAGCATTTCTTATCTCATGTTGAGCAACCAAGAAGTTAGCTAAAATGCAAAGCCAGGGTCAATTGTACCCCACATCATCTGCAATATCTAACTCTGTTATCCAAATGTTTGTGAAGACATTATTATTTATTGCTTGGCGTTTGTATGAGTGACCCCTGTTGCTTCAAGGACATCCATCACGCTCAAGGATTTGTGTCTGAACCATGTTCGCTTTCCTCTGCCAAAAACAGAGCACACAAACTCTGAGGCAGGATCTGGCAGGGGAAAAAGATAAATGTTAAGAAGAGAGGTGCTGAATATGGCTCAATGTAAAGTTGTTTATTGGGATAGGAAGAATACAAAGGATAAATTAAAAAAAAAATCGTGAATATAAAACTAACACAAAATAGCAGCTGTATTTTGTATGATATTTATGTTTGATATTTACAAAAATTACATCTTGGAATTTACAGACGAGCATGAGGTTATTTACATAAAGGTAAATTAAATAACAGTCAAAACGCCTTCAGAGTCAGTAAGAAATCTTACTAAACAGTTATATGATCCGCCACATAAGCAGGAACATTTGACATTTGGTTTCAGCCCTCATTCAATCAGTTCGATGAGTTTTCCATTATTTGCATTGATGTTCACTTTAATGGGTAACTGTGAAATGGAAATTAATGTGGAAGTTGAACAAATGTTTTACTGGCCACTTTGACAGTCCATTGCGTTCTATAGTGTTTATCTACTACTTCAATGTAACATTAAGAGCAGACAATGAGAATTTAAATTCCCCTTTTCAGTCCTCCAGTAAAAGATTTATGTTTATGCATTTAGCAGACACAGATTCATACATAAACCAGCAAAAAAACAGTTGTTGACAAATGAGAATCAGTCTGCTCCTTGGGACTCCATGATTAAGTCTTCCAAGAATTGTCTGAAATCAGACTGGTATAAATAGAAAAAATAGTTAGGCTCTATATACAGTTAAGTAGTTAACGTTTCAATAATGTTGGAAATGCAATGATAATTGCGCCAATGTTTGAATCTTTACCGTCCAAGCTTTCCATCAGCTTAACAAACATTTTTCATTTTCTCTGTGGTCTAATAATATCCCTTTGCATCAAAAGATTTTTGGATTGAAAGGCCAGCAAAAAAAGTTATAAAAAAATTACATTAAGGGTAGACAAAAAACAAAATCACACAATCCTAACTGTTTTCCTTCTTTGCTGTCCAATAATATGGTTTGAAAATGCTGAAAATTCTATTCCTATTCCTTTAAAGTTCTAAAACAATTGAGCTCACATGGTGAAAAAACAAATACTGAACAGCAGTGAAGCAGCGCTACTTAAAAAACATAAATCATAATTTTTAATGGAAATCACTTCATGGACTGGAGAGCATTTCCTCACTCTATCCAGATATGTGTGTTAAAGACCCTAACCTGGAAAAAGAGAATAGATCTTAATGGGATGTAGAAATGATGTTACCCTCTCTGGGACTAAGCCCATCGATCATGAACTGTGATGTAGAAAGGATCTGTCTTTGGGTGTAATTACTCAAAAGTTGGAGATGCAGTTTGGAAATCGTGGACACCGTGATTTCAGGACGAAAAAGGAGGGAGTCAATCCAGCACGTTATCAGTATACAGCTTGAAAACTTGCATCTGTGGTGCTACGAGGATGCATTAGTGCATTAGCCCCCGGACACTTCGGAAGGTGATACAACACAGATGCAGGCATTTCAGGATTCCAACTTTTTTTTTTTTTACATGTAGCAGGGGACACATTCAAAGAGAGCACACGTATTTCTAAAAAGATACAGTTAGTTTATATGGATAAGCTGTCTTTGCACTTTCATTGACTTTGTTTGGCAAAATCCTGTTTATCTCTGCATTTCATAGAGCTCCCAGACATCTTGTTGTAATGTTTCAGCATCCCATCGAATAGTCAATGGATTTTGAGCAACTTCTTCTGCAAATTTAATCAAATAAATACACATCACTACAAGCTAACAGTCTCTTTAAATATTAACAATCGTCAGAAGCACAAAGGAGCCAATCTGACATACTAAGTGAACTCGAAATATTCCAGATCTATAAGACCTATAAAATCTTACAGCACAGCAGAAACATAATAAATCTGCAGGTTTGTACATACAGAGTCACTTTCCATGAAACAAAAAAAAAGTATCAAATATTCTACTGACCACACACAGCCCACCAGGGGCCACAGTTCCCTCCGAACTGGAGACCAGATAGCCATGTTATACTTGGCATGGCTCTTCTCGCTCTCATGCTACAAATATTAGCATAAGATTTGGAGTAGTTTGCTCAGCCCTACTTAGACCCTCTCACGGGGAAACTAATAGTTACAGCTAACTGGGGAAAAGGTAGCACAGCTACTGCACACAATTAGGACTGTGAGGCTTGCAGAGGCTGCTACTGTTGTGTGTTCTACATATCTAACAAGCTGCAGTGACATTAGCCCATTTCGTACCTGCGCTGAACTTTCAGGCAACAAATTCTTTACAGACTGAATGCCTTCAGCATTTTCTTGTAGAGAATGTAAGGGCTTTATAATAACGATTTCATGCCTACATACTCATCCTCTTTGGTATTGCTGAACACTTTCCAATCAAAGCAAACTAATTGTTGTTTGTGTAGTACACTTGTTGACACAAAAGAACAATTTCCTTCTGTCCATGTCACCTCTTTTTAAGGTAAAGAAAACACAATGTGGTCCAGATTTTCTTCTGTATAAAAATAATAAGGAAAAAAAAGAATAAAGAAAATCCCAGTCAAAGAGGGATTTGGGTTCAAGTACATTCCAGGAGAAAATACAAAGTCAAAGGTTTTTGCCTTGCTTTGTTTTCATACCTTCAGAAATTTCACACACTTGAAAATGGAATTAGTCCACCATCCATGTGCCCAGGACCTTGGTTGTAAAACTGGTGTTAATGCCGACTACCAGCACCTCTTCATTTGCAAAGCACTGAAATCCAATTTGGGTACTTGGGTAGCCTCAGAATATAAAAGTGACCACTCTCCATAAAGTTTTTTTTCTCCCCATCATTGCTGCTTTCACGTTCTTAAAGTCTTGGAAATTTATTTTGGCCCTACTTGCCCCTTCTTTTGCAGGCAGTGGTAGCAGTTCATTGTGGGATTTCTTTTCACGCTAAGCCGTCATTTCCTCTCAAAACTAGGGTAAAGTCTGAACACTTTGTAAATCCACTCTGAGTAGAAAGCTACGTTTACAAAAAGTGCAGGCTGCGACGAGGCGCATTTGGTCCTATGAATGCTCACACCGATGATAACTTTGCGCTCATGCTCCTGGCAAACCAAAGGCCCACCGTAGTCTCTCTGAAACAAAATGACATTCACAAATTGCACGGTTAGCCTTTTTCATATCGCAATTTTACTTGGAAGTGCTAAATTTACAGAAATTATGTTTCATGACCAGAGATTCATCATACATACATCGCATACGCCTTCTCCGACATTGCCACCAGCACAAATTCTGCTTTCACCAGCAAGCCCTTTGATTTGTGAGCACATGTCGTTGTTGACCATGGGCATGGTTACAGTGTTCAGTGCTTCATCGTGTCCTGTATCTGAACGGAAGAATGCAAAACCCAACTGTAAGCAGTGAAATGCGAGATCTATTGGAGTTTGAACAGTTATTAATGTGGAAAGTGTGATGACATGTGGTGAAAGAGGCCAGTACTTTTAGTTTCCCCCCATCCATACATGGTGCAGTTGGTGCCTTCAGCGATGTGACACTCTCTCACCGGAAGGTGAATGGTGGAGGCTCCCTCTGACACAGGGGCAGGTCTGAAACCAATTTAGGAATTTTATGTGAAATCATAACCAAATGAAATTCTATGCTGCCAAACAAAAAGCGTTGGTTTAGCCCCTTTCCTTGTGTCGGCATATCAAAACTATTGCAACCACATTTTGAAAAATATGAAAATACATTTCATAAATTCAGAGGCCCAAAACAGGACACCAAGACACTCTTAGTAGTTAATATGGTGCTGAATATGCACTAGTTTTCTGTATCATGGATTTCTAGCATTATTAACTAAAAACTTTGGAAGTAGTTGGAAAACTTACTCTTTTAGTTTCAACATAACCAGATTTGATCCTTCTGGGCCGCAAATTAGCCGAGAGATACTCAATCTTGGGTGGCTCGGAGACTCACTGAGATGACGCAGACCAACCTGCACGTTGTAATCTTTGAGGTCTGGAACACTAAGGATCACAAGGATCAGTGTCAGAAACTTACCATATTTGTGAGAATGAGACACTCCCAACACTGGTTAAAGTAACCAATGATGAGGATTAGTGAGTCATTGGGCACCAAAGTCTTTCTTACATCTACAGCACTGCTAATATGTCAGAGATGGCATGCAGTTAGTCCCTTGTCTGCCATTACACCGAAATGACCCCCATGAATTCCCCAAGAAAAACATATTGGTTTAACAAAAGATGGATCTCCATTCACAAGGCAGGCAACTCTGAAGCAATCTTTTGAGAAACCACAAGAAAGAAATGCGAATCAGACACATTCCCATAAACTTTGCTAAGCACATCAATTGTGACCAGGTTTACTTCAATGAATTATAAGTGAATTAAAGCAGGTGAATTTCCATAATCTAAAAACATTTTGGGCATTGTTTTATAGAAGAACTTCGATCTTGATTTTAAGAAGAAAGTAAGTTACACGAATGTGCCACATGCTGCATAATACAAAAAGACCTAAATAGTGGGTCCTTACCAGGACGTGAAGCACTGCTGGTCTGTTAAAACCCAGTCCTCTCTGATGAGTGAGCCCCCACACAAATGAACGTTCCTGAGATCATTTAAGAAGATAGTTTGAGTCATTCACAAGCTATGTGTAAAAGTAAATTAAGGGCATTCTGAAAATACTTGGAAATATCTTACTCTCGTTGGATGCTTACAACCCAGCTGCCATCTGTACCTCGTACTGGATGACCTCCGACTATTCTGGTGTTTATATGCACAAAGCATGATATCTTAGGCTTGATTAGAGCTAAACAAGGAGATATATTTGATAATGTATGTTAGACAAATCTATTTTGCAGTTCACTGGGAAAATGGTAACATTAACTTCAAAAGTTGACTATAAAATGTGATTTGTTTGGTGAGATTAATGACAACAGAAGGATCTGATGTTAGTGCAGAAGGGAAGGGAGGAGATCAGAGAAAGGAGGATGAGGATGACATAGATGGTGCCGGCCAAGTGAATAAAAAAGAATACTCACTGTTTGGTGGAGGAGCTGTTGTTGCGGATTCGCCTGATATAATAAAGCAAAGCATAACAGTAAGAACAGATGTAACAAGAGCAGGGAACTTACACACATTGACACGCAAAGCATGAAACCTCAAGAAAACGTCAATCTTTAAGACATTATCTCTACATCTGAATCATTGTTAGAGGCTATGACAGCAGTGACATTTGCTCAAGACCAAAGACTTTATGAAGAACATGTTTAACATTAGAGAAATCATTGTGTAGCCATTCATGAGATGCTCTTTGATTAAGATAGATTGAAACCAGCCAAAGAATATGTTGAGTCCAGCAGTCTGGGTGTATTCTCAAATAAAAGGGTGGCAGCAGAGACCCACATCTGTTTCCTGTTTGAGCATTGTGTATCATCTGCCAATTGTACAAAACCACAGCTAAAAGATTACGTAAGAGACGAGACAAGATGTAGAAAAGAACTGTTATATTGTTTGTGTTGAAGTCAACAATAGCTAAATTAAGTTATTTATTGTATTATGCCAACACACTGGGTCTTCCTTCTCCTAAACGTCAGTACATGGCTGAGCACTGAGCAGACATCCTATTTTAGACTGCGTGGAAATATATGCCTCCCACCTTTAAGGTGGCTAATTAGCCTTAGGAGAAGAAAGACAAAGCTAAAGCTAAACAAGGAAGTTTTAGCTTGCTTGCTTAGCCTGGAGACATCATGGTTTTTACGGCTGCTTTGAGTTTGAGCATGGTGCGAATTTATTTAACACCTGAAAACGATACAACAGGTGCATATTTTTTACAGCCCAACTACTTTTGTGAACACATCTGCTCTACTTCTAGAGATGGAGGGAATGCTCATTCACTCACAGTGCTTCAGTTTGCAGTAATCCCAGGCTAGTCGGTTGTTTTGACTGGTGTAACACCAGGGGCCATGTTTGTCCCGGTCAGGGTTCCGGCAGTAGTTCTTCTCCAGCCCTACATAGGACACTGTAGAGTGAGAATCCCCACTGTAAACACACACAAATACAGATTCTCATATTCCATGTGTTATTTTGTGTGCAGCGTCTTAGAAATAACACACTCAGAAAGACGGGTACATACTCACAGTAGACCTTGCATGTGTGTACATACACTGTCACAAATATGGCACATACACACTTCAAGGAATCATGTTATGCCTGGAAAATCTGACTCTGGCTTTCCTATAGTGCAATGAATCCTCCGCATTAGCTTCACATAGCACGTAGAGGGGAGCACTGAGTTTTCTGAAGAGTGCTCAAGGGAGTACAAAAGTATGCAGCCTAGGCTTTCAGCATGGCTCAGACCAACGGGAGCCATATCTTCCATAGAAAGATTCGGTTGAGCTTGCTATTCGGAGGAATTCACATCTTTACACCTAATTCCACGTCTGTTTGCAACTTCGCAGTGCAAGAACGAACATAATATTTGCAGATATTCAAATTGTTCATAAAAAGTCAGTATTAGGTGGGAGAGCGGACACACGGGCACAAAAATAATGCAAAGTGATGGGCAACGATTTGTCAGGATGTGAAGATAATTCCACATCCCAAGAGAATGTTAAACAAGCTGTAGCTCTCAGCAGTTTTTCCCGGGATGACCCCTAACCTTGAGCAGGGTAGACTTGCTGGCTGCAGTCTATGCACAGGAGTTGATTGGCTTTGATCTACTTTCCTCAGAAAGCACTTCCTGAGGTCAGGGGTCAGCTCTGGAACATGTCCGTCTGTCCGTGCCATTTTGGCTTTTAAAATTCTTGTAAATTAAGTAAATCCAACAGCTTTACTTCAGCGAGAAGTAACAGCCCTGGTGTGGGCAACCTCTTCAACAGAATGAGCACCTCAGGGTTTCCTCTCCTCGGTCAGATGAATAATAATTGGAGCTGCTATTGACCCCTGAAGAACCTGTGATTTCCTCTCACTGTTTATTTTCACTGCTTGGCTTCATTCATATGAAAGTGGCTTTTACAAGGCAAATAGAGAACAATGGTCAACATTTCTTGAGGAAAACGTTTCAATGCAATGCTTCAATGCAGCTTATTCAGTTACCTGTTAATGTGATGTGACCAGTCTGCACAAGGAATCCCCGAACGTGTTGTGGATAAAGTGCCCCGGTACATCTCTCCGTTGCCTTCATAACACTCTGAGGAGGAGCACGGCAAAGTTAGTTCAGAAGACTTTGTAGAGTATTTCTTCAAGGGCAAAAAGTAACTAATCTGAGCAGACATCTGAGCATTATCGGTGAGTAGGCATGCTTATAAGCACATAATCATGCACTTGTAGATGCAACCAAATCATTTGGGTGTATGCCTCTCTTTATGGTTTAGATTAGTTCAGTGTTGACAACATCCTGTCTAACTAGTGGTTCTCAAATACAATAGAACATTGAAACCTAACAATGTATGTTCTTAAACAGTATCAGGAGCGGGCCTGTGGTAACTGACATGTGTGGTCTCCTGAAACGTAAAGCAGAGAAACATGGGAAATGACAGCAAGCATAGTTGCCAGAGTCTGGTGTTTTTATTCGTCCATGAAATGGAATTCATTGGGCAGCATGCTGCCAAGTGGCTCAGTCCTCAGAGAGCAATACAGAAAATGTCTGTGTAATTCCACTTTGCAAAAACATGACATGCATTTTAAACATCTGCAGTCCAGAACTGAAACCAGTTTTTAACGAAACAAAACAAAAATTTATGAACAATTGACAAGATACTTGTTGTCAAATGGAGGCTTGGCACGAAAAAATGCTCTGATTGACTTAAAATAATAGTTTGACATTTGGGGAAAAATATTTTCTGGACGTTTGAAGGGAAAACTGCAAGCCTGACCTGTTGTCAACTTTAGTGAATCTGCACATCTAGATGAACATCTCATCAACAACACCTCATCATCAGGAAATAAAAATGATCCGTTTCAGTGGTAAAATATGCAGCATACTAGTGCTTGACTGTGGTCTGAAACCCCCAGGAATAACTACTGTAGTTGCTTTACAACATAATACTGTATTCCACTGCATTTGAGGTATTAGAATAAACGAACAATACACAGTTCACTTTTATTTCTCTGTTCAAATGAAGTAAAACAGTATTCAAATAATTAAGGTTGGCAAAAACAAAGCGGAACTTAAGGAAAATACTGTTGTTGCTAATGAATTTGGGAGAAGCAAGTAGCAAAAAATCATCTCTCAGGAGTTATGGACAGGAATCCAGTCAGACTGTGTGTGCACAAATAAAGAATAATTCATATTATTTTTCCCTCTCACAGGAGTAATGGAATTACAAAGATCACTCTAAAAGGAATATAGGTAATACTGGGTCTGAGGACGGCAGTGAACTTTGGGTATCCCTATGCAACTGCAGGCCTTTTGAAAAAAATAGCTAATCTCCAGTTTGTTAAAGACCAGTTAGAAATAATTACACCCAAAAATAATCATTCTTTTGAATTAGCAGCATTATATTTAAAGATACATGAATAACCTGATCTTATCTGTCAAACATGGTGGAGGTAATATCTGAGTTTTGGCCCACTCTACTATATCCGCACATATATTGCTAACCAAGACTGTTGGAAGGTGAAACAATTCATTCAAAACTGCATCACAAAATTCTGTAAGGGTAAAGTAATGGCTATCGTGTTGGTTATTTAACATACTTTGTGCATACTTAATAATGTCTTTTTCAGAAAGATAAAATTCTAATTGCATTTGCTCAAATATTAAACTGTTCCTGTAAAACTCCTTGTGCAATTTACCTATTTTCTGTATGGCCTCTCCATTGCATCTGGGGATGTGGGTGCACTTCGCTATCCTCTGATTAGGGTCTGTGGTGAAGCACCATGGGTAGTCTGCACCATCGGGGTTACGGCAGTAATTCTCCCTGAGGTCTCTAAAACACACACATAAACTACATACTCAAATGCTGATGCTGGAGATTGGATTGTTTGTAGCAACTAGCTGATTTAATTACTCCTCTTTGTGGCATTTTAGTTTAAATATGCACAAATTGGACAAATCACATGCTTTTCACTGAACGTAATCTAAGCTTTCAGTAGGTATGGAAATAAGGATTACTCACTTGCATTTAAAGTTCTGAGGAAGAAAGGTGTGGTTATGGGGTAACTGGGAGTCCCAGCGCTGACATGTCACACCCTCTGGAGTGACATTCATCATGCCTCTATAGTCGGTGCCCTCTCCCTGGATGCAGGATGTTGTTATGTTGACATCAGTGTCCTCACCAGGGTCGGAATCTGCATGAGATACATTATAGTTGTGAGAGTGGAAGCATGAGAAAGAATTGATAGTCACTTGCAGGAACTGGATGCAGGAATTAGGGAGGGATATTCATCTCTAGAAGAAAGTTTCATGTCTAACCAAGAGACAGATGATCAAAAACAGTAGCACTCCCCTCACACGGCTTTTGTGATAGGAAACTGCTTGTGTATTCATAATACCGCTGCCTAAAATTCTTCAAAACAGGGATTTCCTAAACAATATATTTCCACTTACTTCCAATGGAATTGATCTCAACACAATGGAAAAATCTGAATTATACGTTTAACCGAAACAAAAACAAATTCTTTCCGGTTCATTTTCTCAAAGCTGGTCTATGAAATATTTTACATCCAACCCAGACTGGCTTGGTTCATTTCTTCATTCAACAGCAAACTATTCCAAACATCTTCAGATGGAATTTTGCTTTTCAGCGGTGGTGCAGCACACAGGGAGCGACTTCTCCCCTCCGGATCTCTGTCTCTGTTTCTTTAGCCTTTGACAAATGAGTTGGGAGAAGATGGAGGAGGAAAGAGAATGTTTTGAGGCAGAAACGAGAGGGCGGTTGGAAGAGAGGGATTCTTTGGTTTGATGTAATGCATGCCAGTGTCTGTGTGCACCATGTAGTACAGGTCAGTGGTTTTTATCTTTCTGAGGGCAGGCAGTGAGGGATGCACACATCTGGACAAATGCAGATCCTCCACCCTTGCTGTAAATCATAAACTGTAGTGTAAAGTGCATGCCTGCTCGTGTCCGACAGAGACAAGATGGGATGCTTTGTGTGTCTGTGGATGCACAAACCCAAACATATGAGTTTTCTTTATGAACTGGTGGTGAAGGATCTTTTTGATGTCTTGTTTCTTTTCAAATTTGATCTAAACTACAGATCAAACAGATAATTGTTTGTTACATGAGTCAAATTTAGGTGAAATGATAAAAATTCACAATTGAACTTATAGACAGTTATGCAACTATAATTTCCCCCCTTAATGTAGAAAATTTCAAACATTTCAGCCTCATTCGAAGTGGTGATGATGGTGGAGGAGACTGGTGCACAACATGATGGTCCAAAATCTCCCATTTCTGTTAAATCAGGTTGAGGTCTGGTGTCTGTGAGGGCCACAACATGTGATTCACATCATTTTCTCGTTCATCACACCATTCACTGACCTCCTGAGCCCTATAAGGAAGCATCTGCAATCGTTTTCTTCTTTGCACATTGATTTGTCTCTATATTTCATGACTTTTAAACAGCCTCTATAGAAATTAAACAGCTACTAGACATTCCTCTGCCTTTGAGCAGCATCTCAATACAGAGACCTCCATTGTAATCCTCTGTTTCATAGTCCTGAGTGGACTTAAAACACTTGACAATCCCTTTTATAAACAACATATTTACTCTTCCTTGTCAGTGTAGAAGGATTTAAAGCCAAACACCACATGAAACAAACAGCAGGAAAAACAAATACGTATGAGTCTCTGCAGGGGAGAAGGGAAACTTTTTTTTTTTTTCTCTGAAAACCACAACTAGACCAAAACCACTGAAGTCCTGCCCACAACAAATCCCCTGACTTACAGTTGAAACTTGTAGGTGGTGGAAAACCACTATCTGCCCATCTAAAGGACCAAGTCGTCTTAACATGTAAGACCTCTTGTAAATCCTATTAGAGATTCAGATTTGGTTTGACACATGCAGTTTTGTCTGAAGTAGGTAAGGTTGATTGATTTAGAAAAAAAAGCATAGAAATCAGAATCAGGGTAAAAGCAATCATTTGGACTTTTGCTGATTCATTTGGTGACTTTGTCTACAAAGCACACAGCTCTTACCACACACAGTGATGTTACAGTACTCCCACGGAGTTTTGGGATCCATGGTGTAACACCATGGGCGTAGACGATTATCTGGGTTACGGCAATAGTTGTCCTTTAAGTGTTTTTCCCGATACCTGAGAGGACAGACAGGACACAGGGAGAGGAGGGAGGCAGGGAGAGAAATAAGTCAAAGCAACTGGTGAGGTCTTTCCAGCATTGGCGTTATTCATTGAAGCATCTGTCGTGGGTGTGTGATTGTGACTGTAAGAAAGACACCATTTAGTTAACAGCTTACTTTTTGGGCTGAAAGTGGTGTTTGTGAGGCCTGACAGAATCCCATCTCTGACACTCTTTACCACTTTCTGTATGGTCCACTTTTCCCTGATAATCCTCTCCATTGCATGTCATACACACTTCTGTCAACACAGAAACAACAATCATTGTATAAAGATGTACTTAAACACACAAACTTATTCAAATCTATATTAATGTGTGCGTGTCTATATGTGATAGAAATGAAAAAAAGAAGAGATTAATGGCGATGATGTTTGTTCTTACCTTCTGAGCATTGTGTTATTCCACACTCCTCAGATCTCACATTGGGGTCAGTGGTGTAGCACCATGGACCACCAGGATCGTTGTTGGGATTCCGGCAGAAGTTCTCTCTCAGGTCCTGTCCTGGGTACCTTTCAGGATAAAACCTAGAGGGGCACAGACATGATTGAAATACTGTATAAATAAATTTGCACGAGTGCTTGGACGCTTGGCAGTTCCAGTCATGTTTTCAGTGCCATGCTGGCCTGCAAGTGCTCTCTGTAACAATCCAAATAAATTCAAAAGGAATCTTAATTAAGAGGTAAGCCTCACTCTGTGAAATCCCAGTGCCTACAGGCTGACCACATAACATTTGACATTCTGGTATAACCAGTTGTGGCAATCATGTGCAAACTAAATCATCAGTATGCCTCTCCTATCCAGGTTTGCTCCTCTTACATGATCATGTTACTGATTCTAACCATATCCAGACTCCCTTAAATGTGACGCAGCTCAAATGTCACGGCACAGTGGCCACCAGCAGCACAGAACAATGCTACAAACCGCTTGAAGCAGCTCAAGCAGCTCGTTTCAAAGCAGCCTTTATACAACTTTAAGCCCCATCTTTCTCTGTCTACTATCACAGCCCATTAGTGCGCATACAACCATATTAGAAACAGTACATAGCCAGTTCAACCAAATGTGGTGTGCCGAAAGAGCAAGGCATTTCCGCTCTAAATGGACAGTGTGTGAAATCCGTCTTCTGTCACGGTAGTGTGTTGAGAACCTGGCATGTCAACACCTCCGGATCCATGCTAACCGCAAGACAGTGATGGATGACAAAACAGGGAAGTGTAGGGCACACTGTAGATGAAGGGTAAAAAAACAAGTGTGTGACTTCAGCAGGAAATACTTAAGTCTGTCACTCCACATAATGAAGAGGAAGCTCTTGATTGTTTAACTTTTGTTTATATGAAAAATATGAGTGAAAACAAAAAGTTAAAACAACGTTCCTCCCTTTAGTAACTTGTCTGAACGCTTTGTCCCAGGGTCATGGGGGAGTCTGTCTTGCTCTCCCCTCCGTTCCCCAAGGGGCTTACACAAGGTTTATACAATAATGCACAACATCATTCAGACCAGCAGTGGAGGAAATATCAGCTTTTCAGCTAAGTCAAAAAAAGAGGAGAGCACAAAGGAGAAAAGGGCTAAAGACCTTCCAACCATGTGTGTGTACCTACATGTCAAAATACAACAGGATTAGATCCAACAGCAACTTTTTACTTATGCATGTAACTAAAGCAAAACACTTGCTCCAAAGCAGCCCTCTGCCTGGGGCCAAAGCTCACATCTGTAATGTGTAACCCACAAGTTCAATAGACTGCAGGTCTTTATCATAACAGAATCCTTAATTTATAAATGGAATTACAAGGTTCCTCACTTTGCAAAAAGGTTGCATGTGGTGAGACTCTGAAAAAGGCCACAGCATGGGAGCAAGTTAGCCATAATGATGTTGTGCTAACAGATGTTGGCCAGTTATTCATCTACTTGCCAAAGTCTGCTCCCATCGGAGTGCAGGCAGACACTGCACACACACATATACAACCTTCTCTAGGCTGAGTCAAGATACTGGCTACATGCTGGATATCACAAAGGATGAAACCTAGGCCTGAAGTGACTGATGCAAAATGTCTGGCAGTGCTTGCACCTGGTGAAAGAAGAACAGGCTTGAAGGGGGAGCACCCAAAGAAGAGCTCAGAGATAAAAGAGAGCAGACCAACACTATGTGAATCATTATTCAGTAAAGAGCTCATGTTTTGACCATATACAATTTTATAATTTAGTTATTTTATTCAGTGCTATGGCGTCTCCTGGTACCTTCTCTCTGAAAATCTGTGTTTCAGCCTCTGTCTCATTGGGCACCACCAGCAAAGTCCATTCTGCTCTGATTGTGAGCTGATGGATTTGTACTTGAGGCCTGCCATGTGGCTATTCATTCTTTGTATTAGGCCAAACTAACCACAAAGCAGGGATTGCTAAATATGTGTTTCACAAGGACCAAGATAAATAGAAAAGGAAAAGAATGGACTACAACTGAAGCATTTTAGGCACTTCTGTGATGCAACTAAAACTCACTCTGGTCTATGCCTTGAGTTTTTAAACTTGGCAGATCTTCTGCCTGCATAAAATGCAACATTACACACCTGTGGATAAAAAAAGCATAAAATAACTTATCTAATAATCACTGGAAGAACAAGCCAACTGTCTGATATAGTGAGAGGAATGCCATAGTAACTAGTTAGTAGAAAGAAAAAAGGCCAGGTGGTAATAAAAAGGGAGATCCCAAAGTCAGGCCAAATTTGAATAAGATCAGATATTCAAAACACAGATAATGCTCCACTTTTTTTTGGTTATTCCCCATTTTTACATATTGAGCCTACGGAAAAATTCAAATTTGATGATACGCCTCAGGGCTATATTGCATGATGAAAAGGAAGAAACATTCAATTTTTTAAGCAATATAAAGCAAGTATAATTCGTACCACTTTACATCAAAAACATGTTTAGAACCAATCTGAATGTAATGTTTTGAAAGATTCTTGTTTGTAGTACACTGGCCATTTAGTCCCTTATTTTTTACAAAAAGAAAATAAATTGAAAGGATGCCTTCCTGTAGATCACATTCAACGAGTATAAAGGAATGATTGTAGCACTATCCCATCATTTATATAAGAGAAGGATATTTTTTGTCCGCCATGCTTTGCTGGGCATTGCTTTGATAAGATCCCTGCTTCAAGCACTATACTTGGACAACAGGTGGAAATCCTACTCCTGGAAGGGAACCTCCTGAGAAATCCCTTATGCCCCCACAGTATTTGGTCAAGCATGAAAATAATAGTGACCCCAAGCTCAAATGCTGCATGCTTCATTATGGTGGTAATTCTCTCACAGCAGGACAGTTCAATCTTAGGTAACCCCACAGTGGCACTAAATCCACCACCACATAAGCTCCCTGACACATTGAGAGCTAAAAGTGGTTGACAAGTCAGTATGACAGAAGTCCCCCTTCTATCTGAGGAAGAGGACTGGGATTATGTGTCAAATAAACAATGACAAAGGACCTTTAATGCTAACCACTACTTCTGGAAGGCGATGACAGGATTGGCGATAGAGTGGGAAAGAAGAGTAGAAGACCAATCTGTTTTAATTGTAAGGGATCACCGAACCTGTATTTTCCCTCAGTGTGCATGTAGCTCTGTGAACTCAGCTGGACATCAGACAAAACATGACATCAGCCCATAAATCTTTGTGCCTTCTTTCTTTCATTCAGCCTCCCTTCTATTTTTCACTCTTCACCTCTTCAGACTCTTGTTACTCCCTCCTTCAGCTCCCCTTCACTGCTACAGTTAAAATATCTCACAACTAATGAGCTCCACTAATGAGATGCTGGCAAAGACCCACCTCTGAAAAGTTACTGATCTTGCCTCGCTGCAGAATAGCGAGAACATCATGGGGATACACCTGATGGCCTCCAGTACAGAAGGAAAAAAAAAGGATCATTGGGGAGAACATGCATGTGCTGAAAGAAATCCGACTAACTCTGGATAAACGTTCAACTGTCTCTGAGCCTCCACCTTCCCTTAACCCCCGAGGTGGAAGGGGATGAACTGAGCATCAATAAATCAACTGCTGAGGCCTGTTCAGCATCAAACACAGAGAAAAAGAGAAGAGGCATCCAGGAAGATGGTGGGTGCTTGAAGAAGATGTGAATTTTGAAGGCTGTTCTGCACTGGGAAGACAACCAATTAACGTAGCCTCTTCCATTAAAAAAACAGTTGATGGCGTACTGTGGAGCAAGGCATTGCTCTCCTCAACGTTACAAGCAACTATTCTAAGTATTCCCGTTTCCAATTGTCAAATGGACCGTAAAAAACAACAGACTCTGAGGGCCTTACGAGCTTCAAATGCTGGCCAAAACAAGCTAATTCTACGAGTGAAAACCCTGTGAAAAGCCCCAGCTACATCTCTGCTGACAACCATCAACTCTCGCTGCATGTCTTATCTGTAGATGACAATCACACCACCAACGTCTGGTGACCCAGCACTGCAGGGATCAAATAGCTGGAAGGAGTAACTGTAAATATAATTCAATATGATTTAAATGAAGTGATGAATTAGTAGCAATTCGTACTTAGCGTAAAAAGATTACTTACGTGTGCTCATTGATGTTATTATCAGACCAAGCTTGGCAAGTGATGTTAGACTTTGTCCAATATCTTCTCCCTCTGTAGTTGTCCTTGGTGCCAGTGATACACTCCCTTATATAATCTAAGTGTGAGCAAAGGCAATTAAAAAGACAAACAAAAATAAAAGATCTGAACAGACATAGTTCCTTTTTGATACACGTTTTCCATGTGTACGCTTCGTTTGCCAGAATACACACATTTTGTGTGATTAAAAAGTGATTTGTGAACTTTTACTCAACCACCCTGGCTATATTTTCCCATGTATGGTCAGCGACCATTCAGTTATGTCCCAGCTTGTACGTTATTGTCAAAACAGACAAGTCCCTGTAGTTCATTAAATGTCACAGAGGGGAGCTTTCGTAAATTTTGCAGTAAATTCTAAAGTGCTAGATTCCACAGCCCGCTCTCGAGGAGGGCTTTGCGCTCCGGCTGTAAACAATACATTTTTTGTTTACTCTCCACTTAAGTTTGCTGCATGTTTACGCATATGGAGTAATTAAACAGCGGGGCGTGAGGAGACTTGGTTGCTTTTATTGTGTCAACAGAAAAACCAGAGGCCTTAGGAACCAAGGAGCCAACACACGTGTCAAAAACGACTGACCTGTGTAAATCCCTCTTTGTGCCTCACTGTTCTCATGAGAAAAACACAGAAATTCATAAAGGCTTTGGCTCTGAAAATGATAACATTTACCTTTTTTTTCGTACAAAGTAAAGTTGATGTTGGCCAGCTTCTGCACACCGTGGGTGAAACGGTCAAAAGGAAGCAAGTGGCATTTCCTGTTGTGCCTTTGAAAGTTGAAAGCTCTGTGGAAACACATCGGAAGCAGTTGAAAGATGACCAAATGATAAACAAGAAAAATATGTAAATACTATGAGAGACACAGAAATAGATGAGGGCCAAGAGAAACGTGGTCATGGAGAAACCAAGTGACTTGAGGGAAACAGAGAGGAGAAAATGTGACTCACCTGCAGCTGAAGTTTTTCTTGACCTTCTTGCACTTTCGAGCGCAATGTTCCTGTGAGCGGCTGTTTCGTACCAGCTGGCTCTGAGGACAGTCTGCGCAAACCAGCATGTGGCTCTCAGTCTTTTCATACTTCTGCAATAACTGGTGAGACTTTTTACAGCAACCTGCAGGACAAGATGGTGCAGGGTGAGATCTATCTGCCTGTACCACCCAAATTCAAGTTGGCACAGGTCTGACAAAAGACTGGTAAAGAGAGTGCTGCCAAGAAGAAACAAATGGAGGAACATGTTACACCTAATTAGGTTTGTTGCCAACAGTTTGGTATGATCATTGGGAAGAAAAAGGGCACCAACAAGAGGTAGAGTCTCCCAAAAGTGAAAACAATCTATAATCAGCAAAAGGAAATTGCAAAATTGTGATCTCCACATCTTTTTACAGTACGTTGTTCTAAAAAAAGTTTTGACCCACAGGCAACATTAGATTGTGAAAGAGACAATGCTGTTATGTAAAAGACTGCACAGGCTATGGAACACATTCAAACATCATGGTTCCTGAATACAGTCCACTGTGCCACCCACACCATGCAAATGTAATTCCTTTCAAGCGAATTTCCACCACGATCTACTTGGCCAAAGCTTGGTTAATTTTTTGCATGGCGAAAAGTAGAACACTGTTCCATAGTCACAGACTGAAATATTCAACTCTCTGAGGAGCGTAGATGCCAGACGCTTCTGGACCAAAGAAGGAAAAGGCCATCCAGCTTGTTTTCAGCACTCGGTTAAAAGGTTCGACTCTCTGATGGTACTGGAGTGTCCAGACCTTTCACCACTTGAAATATTTGGCGCCTTGTGACATGCTAACTGAAACAAAGAACACCCAGGACTGTTTGGCGGCTATAATCCTCTATCAAACAAGAACTGAGCAACATTCCTCTCCAATAGCTCCAGCAACTAGTTTCTTCAGTGACCAGACGTTTACAAGGTGTAGTTAAAAGAAAGGTTGCTTCACAGTCAGAAACGTGACACAGTCCCAGCTTTCTCAGATGTGGTGCTGCAATCAAATCCCAACATGAGTAACTATTTTTCTCTCTTTGAGGAGTTCTTTCTGTGAATGGAGCACTTTCCTCGTATTCGCTCAACACACGAGGAAAGTGCTCCATGCCTGAGACCTGTAAATACGATTCGCTCAACACACGAGGAAAGTGCTCCATGCCTGAGACCTGTAAATACGATCCATCAGATTGAAAGCACAACTTGGAAAGTGATCTGATTGGTGTCCAAGTTGGAGCGGAATACTATGCATTGCAACAAATAAACACGATAATGCGGGCTATTATAAGGGTTTTAGTCACATCCTTAACACGCTTCCCGGTTGGTAAAAACAATCCTGATGCTGCCTGAGGAATTTGAGTTAACCACAGCAGGAACTTTCCACATGTTGCAGGAACGACTAATATGCAGATACTCGGAGTTAACTGTGAGAGGGACTCCTCCTGGATAAACACCTACTGGAGAGCTCTACCCTAAAGGACTATTTTCTGTTTGTGCAAGTGTCAACAGCAGCCAGATGGTGGTTTGCCTGACTTGGAAGCTTTTTTATTCACATAAAAGCTCCTCAAATAACTGACTTTTTCAACTTCATTATGCTGTGTTTTCTTATTTATTCTTTATGACTGATAATTCCTCTTGTGATCAGAGAGCAGCTACCTTGAAGAAGTAGTTAAAACAAGAAAACAAAAAAAGAAAAAAGTAATGAAACATATCAATAGCTTTGGTTCTCCAGCAGTTAGAGGAGATACAGTAAGAGGATGTTACTCCAGGGTTACAGTAGCATATTTTAACCATAAAGATCTAGGTCAAAATGCACGTCAGAGCAAATAATGTGGCCCACTTCTAGAATTTTAGACGTCAAATCAACATTGCTGCTTCCTCCAACCTGTTTCATCCCATTGGCTCTCTAAAAAAGAAAAAAAAAAGAAAAAAAATGAAGCTGTGATTCTGCAAAGGTAGCAGGTAACACAGTTTATGTATCAGGAAAACAGTGTTCTGGATGAAAGTCCTGCTTCCAATACTCCTGCAGTCTTGCTTAAAACGAAGTCTCCTGAAAAACACTGCCCTGTCCCGACAGACACAGGAATAGAGTGATGCCTGTCAGCAAGCTGCAGAGCCTCAGCTGGGGCTTTGCTCCTCGTGAAAACATATCTTATATTTTACTATGCTCAGAAAGAGTCTAAAACCAGCTCTTTTCCAACAACTTTTCCATTTCATGAGATTTGTAATGCTATACGTTCAAGTTACTCAAGATAAAATAAATAGTTATCACGATTCCTGTAGAAAATCATTTTATGATCTTACATTTATGATTTTTAAGGGTCAATAAAAGTCATCCTGCTGTTTAACAATGGTGACTTGTAGTTTCTTTCTTTTCTGTCTTAACAACAAGGATAAATATTTTCACTTACAAACATCAATCAGATTTCTACAAAACAATAAAGTATTATGTATCAGATTTAATGCATAGTCTCTCAGCTATTGGCATGCAACACATATTAGAAAGCACACAGTATGTGTGGAAAAACGAACCGTCAAACTGTCAGTGGTGCAAAAAGACACAATATAATTCATTCTTGCTTTATTTATAGAGCATTGTTGAAAGCCATCTCTTTGGAAAAAGCACATCAAAGAGAGTTCTATCATTGCAGAGAGGGGACATAATAAGGGATCCAAGTGGGTTCAAAAACAGGACAAAGTCATATTTTATGTCCAAATTCTATGAAATAGGAATCACTCATTTTTACACGCTAGGAGATCTTACGAGCCATTTCTTTACAAGGATGGAGCTCTGTTATAACTATACCGACTTTAAAAGCCACAGCACATCTTCAGATACATTACATGTTTAGTTACAATAGTTTAGGTCTGCTGTACGGTGCAAGTGCTACATAAATCATCAACAAAGGTCTCATGCTACTGAGTTAGAGCCACATGCCCGCGAGCGAGGATCCAACACGAGACGTTGTGTGTGTACTTAAGATATTGTCGACTGCGGAGCATTTAAAGGATTCTCGTGGTTGAAAATGGTTTTTGGGGAGGATGTGTTATTAATGTTTAGGCTCCACTGGACCACATCTGGCACTCATCACAATGTTGTTCCAGCCCTGATGTCTGGCCAGGCTGTTCAATTAGATTTCACTTAGTCTCTTCCTTTTCTTGCACTCAGACCTCTGCTATCTCCAAATATCTCCTAAGCATTTTGCCGAGGCTGAGGATGATGATAAAACGTGCTTCCCAAGTGGGAGAGATGAGGCTTAATGAGAAGTGGCAGCCATATTAGAGGATCAGGTTTGAGTTTAGTTTGAAAAATTTAGATGGGGTTAGGTGGAAGTCTCCGACCAAAGAAAGCTCCATGTCTGGAATATCTTGAGCAAAAAAAGTTAAAGACAGCTGGACAAGCTTTAAGCTGTGGCTTCCTGGGCAACAATGTGTCAATATTCATAACATGTAATATTTCGTTTTTGACTGTGTGGAGGGAAAACGGTGGTGCTGGGATAACAGGAAAGCAACAGGTTAAAGGTGTGTCTGTGTAGGAATTAAGCAGACATTACATCTGCTTCAGAGAGGCAAAGTGGGTCCAGCAGCCAAATGTCACACCCCCGAAACACACACCCAACTCCCTAACTCTCTACCCCCCCCCTCTCTCTCTCACACACTCACACAAACGAACACACACACACACACACAGACACACCCACACTCCTTTTACATATAACGAGAAAGATGTAAAAATGGCCTGGATCCTGACCATTTTACTGTCTTCACCTCAGGGGTCAGAGGTCAGGGTCGGCCCCCCTGGAGGGGGTAACTATAGACCCTGAGCTTTACTCGGTGAGATGTCAGCGGGCCGGGACGACCTGTGAAGCCATCAGATAATCTACACTTCATAAAGCTGCTGCACGACGCTCGTTTGCAGGCGCTTAAGTGCTCGTGCGTGCGTGCGTGCGCGCGCGCCCTGGTTGCGCTGCGTAATCACAGCAGGTCGGGTAACCTCTCCACAGCTGGCCCCATTTCAGCAGATGCAGGAGTGTCTATTATCATACCTAATATAAAAGGTCAAAGGACAAAGCCGTAACTTCAAGATTTGTGGTTCAAGCCAAACTTACGCGCATCAAGCTTGTGCGCGTCCACAAGCTTGATGCGCGCAATTCCCAGAGAATACATCAATTATATTCGCATAATTTATGAAGTCAAATCTAATGAGAAAATATTGGATACAAATCAGTAGCAATTCCATCGTGTTTGGAGCTTCTTCAATTAAATTCGATGTGTGATTGCGCTGTTTTCTTTGGATTGTGATCTTCAGAAAATAACAAATCATTCTGATGTAGCATCAGGACAGTTCAGAACCCGGACTGTGACCAAGTTCATTCAAAGGAGTCATGTCAGGAGATCAGAAGTGTGCAGGCTATATGCAAAATCCATATTAAAGGTGCTTTATGCCAAACCTTAGCTGTCAAAATCCAATTGAAAAAAGTTATGGATCTCCACATTTCCTTACTTTATGCACTTTAATCATGCAGTAAATTAACACCCACTGGAAGCTGAGCCCTTGAGGTCTTACCTGTATCCATAATGATCACCACAACACACACCAAAGCCTGGTAAATCCACACGTTTGTCCTCATGGTTGGTTATGGACTCGGGAGCAGGTTAGAATCCGGATAAAAGGGGCCACGGACGCGATGGTTGGTTAATGTCCAGAGGGGCTGGTGTTCCGCAGAACACTCGCTTTCTTCACACAGATGACACTTTTTCAAAAACCACACACGTCCTCGGCTCAACCCCTTTTAACTAAAAGTGTGTGCCCCACTAACTGCGTCTCTCCCCACTGATGTCAAGTCCCTTGGATCAAATGAAGCGACTTCCGGTTTATATTTTCAATGTAAAACCAGAAGTGACCTGTGGGGACCATTTATTTTCTAAGTATAACGATCTAAATAAAGAAAATACCGTCTTATTTACTCACTGTTGGAACAAATCTGAGTATAATCAGTTATATAAAACTATTGTGTACAATAATACTGCAGTTGTAAGTCTGTGACTTACAACTGCAGTTAACTGCTGTTAGAAATGCTTAACAACGCTAAAGTATCAAGAATAAAGTGCCACTAAAGATAAAATTGTTTATTCTTTCAATATAAAGGAAAACAAAGAAATCTTTATATCTATATTAGACTGGTGTTCATCAGGCAAGGTCTTCAAGCAGTCTCTCCTCACTTGCTTCACTTTGGCTTAGCTCAAAAGGCAGATGTGAGTCTTTGTTTGGTGAGCCAAAGAGCTCTTGGCATAGACTATTGATTGCATCCTCAAAGGAATAGCTGGTTGCAAAATACTTAATGCATTACCAGAGACATAGAACATGTTTAATGTATTGACAAAGCAAGCAGAAAGTAGCTCATTGAATACTCATACAAACCCAATGGAACTTCACCAGATCTGGATATTGAACTGTGTGTATGCAAAAGGGGAAAATTTGCATAGCATAATTTCCTCTGAATAAACAACCATGCACCCTCACAGTCAATTTAGAGTCTGCATTTAACCTTACATATATGCTGTTTGGACGATGGAAAGAAAGAACCTACACATAAGTGAGAAGAACAGATAAACTCCACACAGAAGCCGGGATTGGAACCAAATACTCTCTTGCTGTGAGGCAATGTGCTAACAACCCTTCTTTAATTTGTAATTTGCATATCAATTCACTGTTTGTACTGCACAGAGGCATGACACTGAAAGCAAAAACAGAGTCAGAAGTGAGACAGAGAAAAAGAAAACAGGAAAAGAACAGAAAAAAAGTTATCAGCTTCAAGATCAAAGGAAAGGGTCAAAACAAAATCATCATGTCAGGGCTGTGGAAAACAGATTTTCCACAGATATAGATTTTTCAAAGTCACTTCAGATTTTTTCTTTTGGAATTTCTCCATTGTTCCTCCAACCTGGAGAATGTCGAATCTTTTATCATCACCATGTTAGATTGTTGGTGACGTCTTAATTATATGATTCTCATTACCCTTTCCTTGAATTTTGAAATACTTAAAGAAATTTCTTAACTTTATTTTTAGATTAATTCAAAATATTTCTCAAAAGCTTAAAGTGATCTAAAAGGAAAAGCTGTGCCAAGATAACAGTAAGGGCACATTCTACTGGCACAGTTTGGAAGAATCTTTTAAACTCCTACTGTGTTGTTTTTGATACAGGATATGATTGAATAGAGTTTACTCCAAAAGTTTATAATATCATTATAAAATATTTTTATACTCATACTGCAGTTTAAAAGTACTTTAAAGGTGCAATAAGGTCACTACAAAGAAAACACTGAACACTGTGAGACATGAAGTGTGTGTGCGTTCAAATGTGGCAGCTGGAAGTGATCCTATTTAGGTACTGAAGTACAGGACTTTTGTTGGGCTCTAACCCTTATTTGACAGGAAATCCACACTTCAGCCGTTAACGGGCGGCCGACTTAAAGCCCTCCAGAGAGAGCAGCAGGGGAAAGAAATGGTTTGAGGTAAACGCCAGACACCCGGCCCTCCCTCATTAAGACGCGTGCAGGTCATTTCTGTCTTTTCTTTTTTCTCTTTCCCTCCCTTTGGTCTGCATGCATGTGTGTGTGTGTGTAACAGTGGGCCGGCAGGTGTAGGGGTGTGTGTGTGTGTGTGTGTGTGTGTGCTCTGGGGGGACGCAGACTGTGGCTCTAAGCCCTGGCAGCAGGCACGTAACTGCACTGTTCACCGTACACACATCACACTTGCAACGTCAATCAGTGTCAGTGCAGAGAAGAAATCCAGACGCCCAGAAAATAGGTCTCGGAGCAAATTCTTGTAGTTTGGTACCTTTTGAATTACGCCTCACCCTGTCCCATGTGTTTTACAAGCCCTAGGTAAATAAGTTAGGTTTGACAGCTGATTATGCATCTAGGGAGAAGATGTTGGAAGTTGGAGTGCTCTTTCAAAACAGAGCAAAGCATTGGGAGTATAAACTTCCACAATTTATTTTATTAACTCCAGGCCTGGTGCGTTGGACTCCAACTTGTCAGTCATTCTTTAGCATTCTTAATTCAAGCATGGGAATTGGTAGCCCTCCGATGCATAAGACTGATGGCTTATTTGGGTTATTTGATTTAAATGCTATTTCAAGATGAAATCAGGGTAACTGACATACATTTCATGTCTACACCAGAGGACCCAATTCTTGAGAAGGATCATAATAATCTAAATGTTCAGACTTTTTAATCAGATAGTAAAATCATTCCTAGAGGGTTTCCAGCTAACATGTGGTGACCCAATAATTTCTGTAGTGTGATCAAAGCTACTCCCAGAGACAACGGCACAAACAGCACTGTTTCTTTGTGGAATTTTTCAGTGTGGATTCTGATCATTGAGTTGTTTGACGAAGTCAGTCCTGGTTTTCCGATTAAAGAAAAAAAGACACTCTGGCGGTGTCGTTGACGGTGCACATAAACACACTACTCACTTCATGCAACATGGGAACAATATGAACTGAAAGCAGTTAAATCTTCCTTTGAGCTAATCTTTGACTGACATCTTCCTCACAAGTATCTGGGGCATTGTGAAGATGTTCCAGATCAGAAAAAAGTGGTGGGATCTTGTCAAGTTAAGACAAAAAAATGCACCAAGTAGCTCAGAAGTGTCCACCCTGATTTGGCCATCGTTAGCTCCAGTTAACTTTTTTTTTCTTTGCTGTAGGAGCTTGCCACACCAGAACTTTAAACTAATGCTCTCACTAAAACAGCTGTGTACAGAGTGATTTATTTTCTGGAGCAAGTTGCCTGCTGCAATTGCATTGATTGCTGATCATAGAAAATTGAAAAAGAACGTAAAACAAAAGTACTATAGATAAGGAATTGTTAGTGTATGAGTAACTTATATTGGTAGATTATTAGTTTGTTTTTAATCTGTTCGGTTTGTTTTGAATCTATCTGTGAATTCACTGAAATTAATTGTGTGTATCTTAATTCACGATATCTGTTTTTATAACTGGTGAAGTGGTTGATTTTAATTTTGTGTTTTATTCAACTTCATGTCTTAAAGATCACTGTGGTCTTTGTTGTAAGGTTTATTAAAGAATTATGTAAAGAGTTATGTCATTGGAATGTTGCTGTGTAGACCACAGGAAGAATAGTCTAGAGATTAATAGGCATCCTTAAATAAACAAGCAAAAAAACATCTGAAAATGCCAATGCTAAATTGAAGAACTACTACTTACATTAGCTAAATTGATATTAGAAAAAAAAGTATAACCTACACAAAGTGGCTTATTGAATACACACCATTCGCAGTTTAGATTAGGAGTGTCAACCCTTAAATCACCATTTTATAAATGATCTAATTAAAGACCATATGCATGTTGAGTGGAAAATATAATGAGATATCCAGATATAAATTTGTGGGTTAAAACATTAGCAAAAAGCGCATAATTTTACTAAAATTCTGAGGTTTTCTTGGTTTGATGCTGACGACAGACTGTACTCCTTTGCATATGTTGTACACATTTTTTGAGAGTGGATTCAGCTGTTCTGGACAGCAGGGGATGTATTGCTCTATCTTTCTTTTTTCTGGTAGATTTAAGTCATGTGTGAACCTTTTCCAGGTCATCAATTTAGCTTTTTCTTTTCCGTTGAAGCTCTTGCGTGATTCTGGCTGTGTGCTCTGGGTTGTTTCCATGCAGGAACAATCAGCAGATTTTCAGCCATCTGTTCAGACTAAATTTTTGGTAAACGTACAGACATTCATGGTGCTGTTTGTAAGTGTTAACTCCAAACACATATCATCACAGCCCCACCTCTGTGCTTAACTGCATCTGTATAGACTAACCCCAAACCTAACCAGTTAGATGAACTCTGAGCCAAACAAATTAAGCCAGGTCTCATTTTACAAGAAACTATCCTTCCAAATTTTGTCATGGTTCGTTATTGCTCTTCAGGATTTTTTCATTTAAGCATTTCTTTGCTGAAGAGATAGGCATCATATCGTTTTTATTCAAATAAGGTTATGTAAAATTTGAACAGTTGCAGAAGCTGATATCCGTTATAACACAATGACAAGTCTTAGATCCTTCCAGGGGTTGACTTTGAATCAATTCAGCTGTAACATTTAGGCAAATCGCTTACTACCTGCAGTTCTACAGACCTGCATGGCATATATGGCAAAAATTGAACAGGGTCATGTTTATTCCCACTTCATTTTTTACCTTTGTATCACTAATTACAAATGTATTCACTTTGTTGTCTGGTGCTTGTACTTTGAGGGCTGTATTCTCAATAAGTATTTTATCAATTTTGATATTGATTAAAGGATAAAGCGCAAATATTCTCTGCAGTTTTGGAGAGGTTATCCAATTTAAGATCATTATATTTTTTAGAGAAATTAAACTTTGCTAATCTACTGTAAGCTTTTTTTCAAACTTATTCTTGGCCCCTCTTTTCACACCCACACATCTATTTCATGGCTTGTGAGCCACATGAAAAAGGTGTGGACAGGGGAATTGAGGAGGTGGAAGAGGAGGACCCAGAGAGATGGGCTGTGTTCATCATCAGGTGGATAGAGAGAGAGAAAAGACAGACTCACTCTGCCAACATGTGTGAATTTAAGCGTATGCACTT